ACGTCTTTAAATAAATTTGTCTTAAACAGTTTGGTAAAAAAAGAACTTTATTATCTACAAAAATACGCATTTTACAGCTCTACACATAGTGCAGATGCTCTCATGTAACCGAACAGACAAACAAACAAAAAATACAAAACAAAAAATAAATATACAAACTTTTCATTTTAGTACAATATTAATAACTTTATCAATATAAGACAGCATTGTCTAGAGGTAGAAATATAGACTGCTACCCCGAAAGTTGAGTTCGAATCCGGAATCCAGTCAGTAAAGTGTCCCTGAGTTCACCCATCTCTGATGGGTACCTAACTCTCGTTATGAAAAACAAAGGCGGCTAGACATATTTCTTATCATACTATCCCTTCAAATGTCGAGGTCTCTGAAGCTGATGAACTCAACTTTACAAATTGTACAAATCCACATTCTTGCAATACGACAATGCAATAGAATAATGTCATATTTATAACCTCACGCCCCAATACAATGAAATACAAAAACAATATCTCAAGCATCATGACACAATACAATATGTATATCCCAGCATAATACTTAAAAATAAGTTATTTATAAAAATTTCTGTTGCATTACGCGATTTGAAAAGAGTAGGAAAATAGAAAAGAATAGATGACGGAATAGGAAGTCATTTAATACTGTGTTTTATATAGGCTTCATCAATATTTCACCTATTTATAAGGAAGATCTAATGTTATGACTTAATAGTTCACAAATGATATCTAAATACATGATATACATTGTTATAACATACATTTACGAAGAGTAATGACTACACAAACTAGTTTTAAAATCACGACTTACCACGTTACCAACTAATAACCCACAAGGCACAATCAAATTCAGAAATTCTGAAGTCGCTGACAATGATTGTGTTGGTAGGATGCCTTGACGTAAAGTATAACCAGTACCCACTGTACCGCTGCCACCATCAAAGACTAGACCTTTCACGTTCTCAGCATTGCAATTTCTGCATGTGTTGTTGGTTTTCGTGTAGGTAAAGTACACGCATTTTTTGCTGTTGAGACACGACAAGGCACAATCTAATAACGATCGTTTATTCGTTGATGCTACTGATGTATCGTTACAACCATTGTACGTCACGTCTGAGGCTTTAAACTCTGACGATGTTAAAGCAGTGTTTGAGCACTGTCCTGTCGAGAAGACTGGAAGACTACACGAAATCCACAAAAACAGAAGTAGATGCATGTTGTATCAGTGCAGTACAAACTCTCCTTAGTGAAATAAAAAAAAAACTTATTTAGTAAGTAGTAAAGCTTGCACGATCTCCTTGTAGCTAGGAGATCAAAGTGCTGGAAGATACGTAACCCGAAGAGTCGTCTAAGTGGAGAAACAATGAGGGGCGGGGCTACTATACATTTTTAATGGGAAAATCAACAAATGATAAACTAAACGGTTGCTGTAACAAATTAAAGGGGGTGGGGAGGGGAAGAATATAACTAGCAATTATTACCGTTGTGGATATTACGTCGGTGTTGTGGTTGTTAGATTATATTTGAGATAGCTTAATGTTACCCATGTATCGAAGATGTACATATGGAAATATATTCACCTCATAACTTTTTTTAAGCTAGTGCCAACAAACCTTAAAAAATCGAAACCCGCTCTTGATATATATATATATATATATATATATATATATATATATATATATATATATATATATATATACATACATATATATACATATGCGCACAGTATGTGCGTGTGCGTGTGTACATGTGTTTAAAAAAATAAAATCGATCCACTAGATATGCATATAAAACAATAGCCTGTCGCCCATTTGATAAATAAATAAATTGTTGTCTGTGTTTATCTCATCTATCCGGGTAGGCATTGCCGTTCCACTCTCCCTCCCCGGCCATTTCCAACGCCTGCCCCCCCCCCCCCCTTCCCAATAGAAAAGTAGCGTACATTTATATCAATGGTTCCCAAACTTTTTCGATTGGCGACCCTCTTTTATAAAAAAAAATAAGGGACCAGCGACCCCCATAGAATTAAAAAAGCCGAAATTAGTTAGGAAATTAATAAGCACTAAAATACGATTTGTTTGTAGACTCTCAATATTAATTATTCTTGATAATTGATGGGTGAAATTGCATGCTATTCACTAGTCTTAACAATCGCGGTTAAATTTTTGTTAACGTCAACCTCATGTCATTTTGAGCATTTAATTTATTTCTTTGTTTTGTTTTTAATTGGAGAAGACGCAAAAGGAACTAAAACTCGAAAGGCAATCGATTTCACGTTTGTGTATGAACGGTACATACTACACCAAAATTGTTTGAGCAGTTTTTCATTTAACACGACACGTGGCGCGGATTCATCAACTTGAAAATCAAACAATAGTGAAAGTTTGTTTTCATTCAAAATATGTTTTTTTAAGATCTACGGACATGTCTTATATATGCCGCTGCATAGCATTATTAGACAGAGATATTTGTTGCACCTTTACTGCACTGTAATACCCAAGAATTAATTGCACGATCCTCAACAAGAAGGGTTGATGAGACTATTTCAGTATTGTGTTAGGTTTTTTTGCTTGGCAATTTTTAAATGCGACTTCATATTATGCTTGCACTAACGCTTTGTTTTCTTGGTGAAAACTTCCTGTTCGATCAAGTCTCTAACGTTTACAGCTAGCTTCACGCAGACGAAACAACTCCTTATCTTATTTGGCGTTATCCGAATGACTCGTCTCAAAATGACGTTTTAGTTTTGAAGGTTTCACAGACTCATAACTGAGAACAACTTTTCACAGTACGCATTGTTTCTTCTCTATTTCGTTTCCAGTGGTTAGTAAAGCCGAATTTCAGAAATTCTTCTAAATATATATTTTTTTTCATTGCTAGGGTTTATTCTACCAGTTGGCGACCCCCCAGCAAGCCCTTCGCGACCCCCCATGAGAACCCATGATTTATATAGAAAACGTATACGTTAGGAATAGTCCGCTGCCTGCATTGTCAAGTATCCCAATCAGAAATTTCAAGTTCGCCCCCCCCCCCTCCCCACCTCTCCCTCTCTTTCTTCGGAGAACATCGTATGTAAGAAACCCTGATAATGGTTCTGATTAGACAGTTTGGAAAACAAAACGCAAAAGAAACATTAATGCATAATTTGCATACACCGAAGAGATTGTAACCGATATCGAAAAGAAAGAACATGTTTTGTTAACCCTTAGTTTAAGAATAGTGTGCTTGATTGGTTTGGAGTACAATTGATTACATCATAAACAGGTTCGTGTTAGGTGCACGGAGTGTGAACAGATCAGTGAAAGGAATCAATGAGGACCTATCCTACTCGGCTATCCAAACACCCCATCTTAGCTTATTAATATTTAATTACCCGCGTTATTCCTATACAAACTTTTATTAATATTTAATCGCCTGCGCTATTCCTATTCAAAGTCTCGAGTTCGAATCCGGTTTTCAGTCAGTGGAACGTTGTGGAGAGTATAGGCGCTGGGCATTGTGCTGTGCACTGTATTCCTGCATATGCTGAGGTCATGAATATGAACTCTATTTCATCTGCTTAACTAATCTCTAAGTCTAATGCGGAATCTTGTATTCCTATAGGATTTGCTTATTCAACTGCATGACATAAAAGTATTGTGTGTGCTGTAAATTATTCAGAAGACGATGGTATCATAATCCTTGTTTTCAAAACTACTCATTGGTTGTGTCCGTTCAAACATTTTAGACTGAATACATTACACTTTGTGAAACAATGGGTTGTGCACAATGTCCATTCCATAACTATAGGCCTGGTAAAATGACATTGGTTGTACAAAATACACGTTTACTAATACAGCAATAGGTATGATCATGTGGTTGTAAGATTATCTTATTTTAGTTATAAATGACTTTGTCTCCGATTTGAGAGATACGGGGGGGGGGGGGGGGGTTTAGTGGAACACGGTCTCCTCAGAGGTCTTCCTTGGACCAATTAGAAACAAAATTAAATTTAATATTTTTTAAAAATTGCTCCCCCCCCCCCCCCTGGCTCCTAATGCCCCCACTCCCAACACACCGAGCAAAATGTGTGAAAGAAACCCTACTCTGCACCGGTATCAAAGACGTCTGTATTGTGTGAATTTATTACAACTTCTTGGGCTTTAGGATTGGTCTCCTGGAGTAGGGTCACATGCTTGTCAACAAAGGTCTTAACAAGTTCTTCTGTGGAAGAATAAACACCTTAGGATAGTGGTTACAAAATATTGTGTCTCTGTGTAATGCTTAAAAAGAGAACAAGTAGGCCTGTATTTGTTACACTCATCCCATCAATATATATATATATATATATATATATATATATATATATATATATATATATATATATATATATATATATATATATATATATATATATATATATATATACGACTCCGGCAAAACACATGTTTTAAATAAATAAATAATAACTTTATATATTGTTTCATATACTGTATGGACATTAAAACCAAATAACTTTTGTTACTTTTACAAAACTTCAAAATGTGCAAAAAGAAAACACGCACCATCCATTAACTTGAATATCTTCAGAATATTTAATAATAGTTTTATAGGGGATAGTTATTCATAAAAAAAGAATTTAAAAACAAGAAAAGGGGATAGTGAGGTTAGCATAATGTTCAGCCTTGCTAACATTCCAATACTTGAGTAGGGCACACAGGGCTGGGTGGACTTGGGGACATACTACGGACATATTAAAGCTGGAGACATTGTGGTCAATGATGAAGCACTATACCATGCAATCTAAGTTTTCTTAAGTAATACCATACTTGTTAGATTCTGAATAGTATCCCAAATAAATTGGTTAAAAATACAAACTTTGAATGACAACCCCATTGATCGTGAAATACTGACATCAATACTAACATTTTTTTTAAATAAACTTCTTTATTTTAAAAAAATGTGTATAGAAGAATTATTAAACAAAAAATAAATTTAAAATTCTTCTTTTATTGGTAAATCAGTTTAAAAAACAGTTGCAACATGTAGAATATTTGTCAAAAGTAACATTTTTTGGCCTTAAACCAACAAGATGTAATAATCTATTAGTCCACATTCTAGAATTTTCAAACAAATATTCAAAAATATTTCTTTTGTATGAATGTTAAATATAAACTGAACTAAACTTCAATTTTACCAAAAAAAATTGATTAATAAGGAAAGAAGAGTTATAAACTTAGTTATAAATATACAAGGTGTAATAATTATTGATTTTAATTTTTTTTTCAATCAAATTTATTTTGATATTACATTTGAAAAATCAAAAAAAATAAGTACTAAATCAAGTTGGTTAATATGTTTTTTCTTTTTCCATATGTGGTAGCTAGATATAAAAATATGATGTTACATAACACAATCATTTTGTTGACATTATATCAAGTTTAAATAGTTTATAAACATAACTAAAAATCTAAAAATAGTATTTTTGGATTTTTTTTTTTTACAATTTTAATTTTTAAAGTAATAAGTTCCATTACCAAGAAAATGATTAAACATAATATCAGTTCTATAATGTATAGAAATATGTATATACACTAAACATTTATTATCACACAGTCAGCACTTACATTTATTAACATGTTACACTGTTACATCAAAAGTAGTTTCAATAAATATTTCCAAAAATATAAAGAAAATAATGTAAATGAAAATAAATATGTATATATTGCATAGTTTATTATTACATTCAATGAGCAATGTATGTACACGTAAAATATATATGTATAATTTTGATCATGCCATATTGCTAACATAATGGATTTCAAATAAATTACAACATTAACAAACCAAATGGAAGACAAATAATATTCAAATTGACAAAATGTTGATGAACAGATGATATTATAGCCTAAATTAACTTCAAAATGATTTTTGAATTGTAGTCTTCTTTGTATTATAAAAAGACAGAAAAAGACCATCTTTTTTAACAAAGAATAACTCATCAACAGAAACAATCCACATTATCTAAGGCTAAAGCACATCATTAAGGCTAGCTATTAAATTAAGGAATCCCTGAAAATAAAATTTAAAAAAGCAGGATATAAGTTTATAATTATTATTATTGCCAAATATTATTTAAATCACAATATGGTCGAACAGATTCTAAATCAAACAGTTGACAATGTTTTGCATTTTTGAAAAAAAGATTTGAAGATGATCAACTAATGACAGAATTTCTGAACACTTATCAACATGTAAATGCATTACAATATAGAGAGCAGTGCTTGCAATTGTTGTGAATCACCAAAAAATCGATCACAATTTAATCTTAAACACATTTACTCAGTATAATACATTTAATTTGTTTTTAAATTAAAGCACAGATATAAAAAGTGGAGATCTGTTACATATAAATCATCATCATTTCCCATTTATGCCCAAGACACATGGGGCAAATAAAGTAGAGTTCATCTGTTTCTTATAAATTGTTTTCATATTTTTAAAAAGGAATCGAATGTATTCATACCAGTTTTATTTTATGGATAAAATATAAATAGAGAAAAAAAAATAGTTTAAAACAATCAGAGGTCAGTTAAGTTTTTAAGTATTGAAAGACAAAACAACTAGTGAGACTTTATGATTATTGTGTGGCTTCAGACACTAATCTTAGCATGACAAGAGGTTATTAAAATAGCCTCCTAATAGAACACCAAAACTAGTCTGTTCTTAGGGCACCAAAATTAATGTGAATAAATATTTTACCTAGTGGCATCAATGAATAGTAGCTCAACGTAGTCAGTGATTTGCAAACCTATTTATCTGACATCTAGTAAATGAAACAAATCCTTATGAAAAATGTATATCTTATGTTTACTCACAATTGAAGTCTTTTCATGCCTCTTTTCCAACCAATTTCATCAATAAATATTAGAAGAACATAATAGGCAGCAACAAATCAACCACAGACATTGCCACAATAGGTATCATGGTTTCAAGTGCTATCTTAGATTCACATCCCTTTTCATGAGCTATAGCATCACCATACAAAATTTTCAATGCAACTTCATTAAAAAATTCATTTTAAAAGACCATTTTTTTATCAACATATGCATACATTTGTTAAAGTACATTAGCAAAACCAGTTGCAATGTTTTGGAATGAGATTATGACCAGATATCAACAGCATATTCAACAGCTGAATGTGAAACAACACAAGGTAACAACGTTATGCGTTAGAGTCGCCCTTCTTGTTCTTTGGCTGTGGAGAAGGAAAAATACAGATGTAAACAAAGCATACTTTAACATAGGCACATAATATTAAGTTATATAGGCATTAAATTATAGCGTGATATATTTTTGTGTTGGAACTCTACATTTTGGAAAAGTTTAAGTAAATTAATTGTGCAAAAGGAATGTGTATGCCAGTAGAAAAATATATAACTTACTACGTATGCCGGGTTTGGTGATGGGCTGTAGTTAGGTCTAACAATTTCAAACTGAAAATAAAAAGCATCACAAATTAATTTATCCTTATCTAACTTCTAAACTATAGCAATATGTGTCATTTGCTCAATGTCAAGAAACTAAAGGAAAAACTATGAAAAAGAAATATTTAATTAGTAATTTGATATACCTTCAGTAGGAAAATAGGCTACATAAGATTTTTAGTCAACTGATTATTGGAAACACATTCTAACAGTTTTAGTAACACTTGCATGCATAAAGTAGTAAAGTAGTTCAAAACAACCACATACACACAAATAAAGATAAAAAAAGAGACAATTATGTCATCAAGTAAATGTAGCAGTCAATAATTAGATGTTTAATAGGGACTTGTCACTTACATCCTTGTGAGGTTCCAAAAGTTTAAACATGTATTCCCAAGAAAAGTTTGCAGTCTGGCCTTCAGGTTTGGGTGCTGGAAAAATAAATTAGTTGTGTATTTAACACTAAAAATCAGAAGTGTATGTTAAATACATGTTTTGAAAATCTCTAATTAAAAACAAATGTGTCTTTGAGTTATTTTTGAAGTGTTAAATACATTTAGACTTTTCCAATAATTCATATATTTTTTAAATTTTTTTCTAATTATAATAATAATAATAAATAAATAATTGAAAACCAGAATACATTTTAAAATTTAACATTTAAAATCCTTCTTTGTTCAATCTAGTTTTCTACAAGATTAAGTTTCTATACTGCTAGGAAAAGAATAACTTACCATTTCTTTCCTTCATGGTGTCCCGACTAGCTGATGTCCCTTGACCATCATACCAGGCAGAGTCTTTGAATCCTGAGCGCTTGCCTCTAATCAGTTTACCATCCCTGCTGCCCTCACTTGTTCCAGCTTCAGAGTAAGCATCAGGTGAGTACAGTGATGGGGTGCCCCACGAGCCTTTGGTGGCTATTTGGGTGGCGAATATACTTCTAAATGGTGCATCACTGTTGAGTAGAAAATATCAGTATCAGTTTTATGCTTCACTATTTTAGGTTAAGAGCTTCTAAATGGCATATAATTAGTTCACTAATAAACATTATGTAGAATATTTGTTAAAATCTACATAATATTTAGAAATTGTATTTATAACAACAAATAATAAGTATGCCATAGTCTTTGGAGTATGCCTGTAATGAAACTTTTATTACATGGATCTTAATTAAAATAGCTTTAATTAATTTTTTTTTTAAGAACGCCATAATAATGTTGAAATCACAATAGCTATTAAAATCAATAAGGTGAAAGTTTAAAGTTGGTATCCTCAAAATACACCTTCAACACTAATGATAATTTTGTAGAAGATTCTTAAAATGTAGAAAATCAATTCGCGGTAACATTGCTTTTGTCTTTGCAACTCTTTAATGCTCAAAGACGTGTTATTTAAATTAATGGCAAATATAACATAGTGTTAGAGATAGTTCTATACTGATAAACTTTCAAATGTGATTTAAATAAGTTAACCAAAGTTAACTGAATCAACTTATTTAATCAAAGATTTAAGTAATGGGCACAATGAATCCATGATTGTGTTGTTTATTTCTGACATTAAAAACTATAATAGTTACAGAAAAAGGCAGGAATAAAGTGTTTGACAACTGACCGATCTAGTGAAGGAGTGCTGCCCTGTGTTTGATTAGCAGATTTCCTCTTGATGCAACACCACACAATGACTGCCACAGTCACAGCCAGGATCACAAACAATGGGATGCCAACAGCCAGACCAATGGTTAGGTCATGGTTGGCCTCAGCTGTCACAGCTGTTAAATAAAATATTTTAAAATCACTTGTTTATAAAAATCACATCAACAGTTAACAAATGTAACAACCTTTCACCATGTTCTGCCGGAGGAAAAATGTTTTCAAACAAAGGATTTTCAAACAAAGAAATGTAATAAAAATCTGTAACTACTAAACATACCAGTACTGCAATTTGTACCAAACCATCCAGGTTTACAAGTACATTTTCCTGTAAATCTATCACACTGTTGGGTGTTTGTTGCTACACAGTTACAGGTGTTAGAACAGTTTACTCCATACATATTTTGACCGCAGGCTAAAAGAGTTAAAAAATGTATTAATTGTGCTGCTTCAATTACAACAATATGTATAAATATGAGCCAAGTTGATGATGGTTAAAACGCTGTGATATAAGTTCAGACAGGGTGGAGTAGGCACTACATTAAACAAATGTGAAAATTTAATGTTAAATTTTCAGATAACATGGTAAAAGTACACATAAAATAAAACATATAAATGATTACATTAAATGTGTAAAACATTAAGAAATAATTCAGTTATTTCTTTGTATATTATAATAATTGTTTTTCCAAAATTTTCAACATAGCTCAGTTGTAATACATGATCACAGACATAAAGGAATAAAAAAAGAGACTGCTATTAATTTATACTTAAGATATTTCTTGCCAGGCTAATTTTTAAAAGTTATTTAAACCACACCTATAAGTAGAAAAAAAATGTATACATCAATATATCAGTTTCAAAACTGAATGGGCAATTAGTTTTACCTGTATTACAAATAGCCCCACTCCATCCAGGTTTACATGTACAAGCTCCAGTCGCATCATTACAATCTTGAGTGTTTGTCATATTACAGCTGCAAGAAAAGCTGCAGTTTGCTCCATAATGAGTTGCATCACAAGCTGAAGAACATAATTTATTTGTATTAATATTATATTGCATTTAAAGCACCACATTTACACATGTCTAGAACACAAAGCCTGCCAATTTTTTTTATTTCTGAAATCATTTTCTCCACAGAACATGTATACTTTAGCATTCACACTTACTGAACATTTTGTATAACATTTTAGAAAACACACATATCCTTTGACCTGAAGCAATTACTATATAGGCCTTGATTATTAATAGAAAGAGTAACCAAAAGAAAAAGCAGATGTATAATGTGGGCACAAACATTATTATTTTAATGGAGAATGGCGTAGATATGGTGACTACAATTCAGCAATGAATTATCTAAAAAATACAGAACATGCAAAAAAGTAGTAGACGTTTAAAAATTATGTATGTTTTTAAATGACACAAAGTAATTAAGTTGAGTCAAGAGCAAAAAGTATATATTAAGTAATATAGACTATAGAATTTTGAACAAAAACCACAAAATATATTTTAATGAAGATCACTGAGACCATGGTTGCCATGCCATAAAAAAAAATCATAAAACTGAATATGTAACTCCAGTTAAAACAATGGTGTGAACAAGAAGCCAAAAAATAATCATGTTGCTACTTACATGGACACACTGGTAGGTTATTTTCACTAACAATGCACACAGAGTTGTTTTCACAACCTGACAATGCATTGAATATATCACACACACTACTGTCTTTGGTATCTGAAAAACAAATTTTTTGCTAATGAAATTGTAAATCTTGCATACTCAGGCTTGGGTTTCCATCATAAAATAATAATTAAGTTTTTAAAGAGCATGTTTAAATGCTGGCCTAAGCTTGTCTTCTTCAGATTCTAGTTTTAAAGTTATTTTAGTAAAGGACAGTGGAACATTTATATTTTCAATAAAGTACATGTATTTTATCCTGTTTAGAAGAAAAATAATATAAAAACTTACAGTTGTATTCTTGTGTTGTGACTACCTGAGCAGGGTAGGTCTTGTTATTTATTTCAAAAGTAGCTGACACTACATATCCTGATAAAACAGCTGCTGCATAGATATCTGGGTTTTCTTCAGTTTTATTACTCATTTCAATCATTGTATCAACAATCAGTGATCCTTTGCTGTGAAAAGAAGAAATAATTTTATATTTGATTATCCAGTCACCATAAAATGATTTTATCTCATTTGTATGTTAAGATCTGTGCTTAACAACTCTGAGCCAACAATCAAGACTGATGTTAGAACATGGTCTTACGCCTACAAGGTGATCACAATTTCACCAATCTTTAACAAATACCTCTGACCAGCTGTGCAAGTAACATATATGATAATAGGGCATAAAGATACGCCCCTAAACTGATGTGCCTTAAACTGACTCACAAATATCACAAAATAATTTGAAATCCATTGCATCTACCCTATATTTCTACATGTCTAAAATGGTGCTTCACCATCTAACTAATGTCACATTAATTTACTCTTATTAGAATCGTCAATGCATTACATATTAGTATAATAGTTTGGAACAAATATAAGAAAAAGTGACTCATATAAAATAATCTCATGTTTATATAGAAAAATGCATAGGTCTAAGTGAAAATTGAATTTGACTTAACACTGACATATTTTACATACATGGCTCTTAATGTTTATTTTTTGGCATAATCATTCTATATACTGTGTTTCAGCTTTTTTTATATACTAAATCTAATGACCCTACATATACTTAATATTAGGGACATTGCACTCAATAATTTCTGTTACTATATAACTTTAGACTACATCCAATTTAATACATTGTTGTTTTATTTAGATATTTTTTAATACGAGTTGTAAATTAGAGAACATTTACATTAATAAGAAACCAAAAACAGGTTGAGGTGCAGGTTGCCAAACACTTTACTTACCGTATAATTATATAACATGTGTTTGTAGAAAAAATATAATCACATTAGAAAACGATTTACTTACCGGATTCCAATTACGATGGTTCTAACAAATTTGCCTTGACCCAATAACTGACCTAAATTGTTGAGCTAAAAGCAAAAAATTTAACATATGAATTACTCAAGTTTTAAACAATAAAAAACATAATTCAAAAATGCATCTAAAAAAATTGATAATGCTTTTAAATACACACTTTATACATCCTAATTTTAAAAACTTTTACTAATTTAATCAGAGAAATTTTATTTCTCCAAAGTATTCTTCTAATCAGCTGCTTACATGATTTTCAATTTTGTTCTTGAGGTCCCAATATTTTTCTGTTGTATTATCTACTAAAGATGTATCATTGTCTGGGAAATCGTAGTTAATGATAATCCTAGCATGGTATGTTGCAATTTCAGCTAAAGATGAAACAAAATATTTGGCATACATTAATATAACACATTATTTGAATGATAAATAAAATATAAATAATCAAAACAAAATGGTACACATTTTTAAATTTTTGCTGCAAGTTTTTTAGTGGTTTGAATCAAAAGTTGTTATGTCCAAAAATATATTTCTTTAATTAAGGTTGTAGTGGATTATCATTTTTGAAATATGTTTTTTTTGTGAATCCATAAAAATACAACATGATGCTTTATAAATGTTAGAGCACGGTTAGTCAATAAGAAGCCAGAAGAAAGGGTGGCTGAGGAACTTGACAAGTAAGATTTGAAAGCACAAAGCCCATATCAAAACTACATTCAGCAGTGCCATTTAGATTGTAACAAGAATCATGTGGGTCTGGACAGTAAATTGTGTTCCCACATTCATTAAAATCTGTGTCACATTTGGGGCCAGTCCAACGGGGTTTACAAGTGTAATTTCAGTTGATGTTATCACTGCCAATAGTGTGTTTGATGCAGCACCGTTAGATTTGTCATCAGTAATGTTTACATGTAACTGAAATTAAAAGTAAAGCTAACCAAACACCGGGAATGGATTGGCTATGAAATTTTGAGGTTTGGAATTCGATATGTACTCAAAAATGCTCTTATTGCAATGCTAATCAGGCTAAATGTTATAATTATGTATAATTTTTATGTAAAAAAAACAAGCAAAAATGTAGGAATTATTACTATGTATTTTTTTTTACAGTTTTACTTGCAAAATAAACACAACATTTCTAATAATGCAGGCTAATAGGTTAATTTAATATTTTTCAAATCGTAGTGGCTTGGCCTTGTTCTAGTACAAGATAGAAGTCAGATAATAGTAGACAAGTAAAGAAATCAACAGATTGGATTCTGTCAACATTTTTAAAATGAATTACTTTACATTTTTAACAAAAAACTATACAATTACCTGTATTACAATTTGCTCCACTCCATCCTGGTTTACATGTACAATCACCTGAGACATCATTACAGTCAACTGTGTTTGTCATATTACAGCTGCAAGTTTTGTTGCAGTTTGATCCATAATGATTTGCATCACAAACTGAAAAATGTATTTTATTTTGGCTCATTTAAGGTTATTAAATCGTCACAAAAAAAATTTGGAAAAAAAAGTTTTCAATTATACATTTAGCATTTATTAGGCATATACATACTCTGTTACTGATATTTCTTCTGTAAATGATTTTTAATTAACCACCTAGCCATACAGTGTAGTAATGATGGGTTATAAATTATTTTTAATTTAAATGACCAAGGTACATTTATATAGTTTAATTAGGATTTTTGATATGTAAATGTTCTAGGCTTTACAATCAGGTTTTAGATGTATGAGATGTTGTTTCTTTTTCAGAAGCCATGGTTATAAATAGGTGGTATTAAAATTAAGCTTAAACAATCTGAAATCATTTGTGGACAAAAATTTTTTATAGCAATTGTTTACCTGTATTACAAATGGTTCCACTCCATCCTGGTTTACATGTACAATCACCTGACACATCATCACAGTCAACTGTGTTTGTTATATTACAGCTGCAAGTTTTGTTGCAGTTTGATCCATAATGATTTGCATCACAAACTGAAAAATGTATTTTACTTTTGCTCATTTAAGGTTAATAAATCATCACAAAATAAATTTGGAATAAACATGTTTCAATTAAAAATGTATCATTCATTAAGCGTATACATACTCTGCTATTGATATTTCTTCCATAAATGATTTTAACCACCTAGCTATATAATATGGTAATAAAGTGTTATGTATTTAATTTAATTTGAATGACCAAGATAAATAGTTTAATTTGCCTTGTTTATATGGAAAAGCTCTAAGCTATGCAATCTTGTTTTAGATGTATGAGATTGTCTTCCTTTTTCTAAGGGCATGATTATAAATGGGTGGTTTTGAAATTAAGCTTAAATAATCTGAAATCATTTATAGAAAACAATTTTTGAGAGCAAACATTGACCTGTATTACAAATGGTTCCACTCCATCCTGGTTTACATGTACAAGCTCCTGAGACATCATCACAGTCAAATGTGTTTGTCATATTACAGTTGCATGGGATGCTGCAGTTTGCTCCATAATGAGTTGCATTACAAACTGAAAAATATAATGTATGTTGACTAATAAATTATTATTTAAAATTGTCACAACATAAACTTTGAAAATATACATTTCAAGTTTCAATTGATCACTCATATACATATTGTGCTGCTTATATTTGTTTCATGGATGATTGTAACCATGAGGCATGTAATGAGCTTAAGGTAAGCTATAGCTGTATTTTATTTGATCTAATTAAGAAAGCTGATAATAAGTATACTTTATGTATGCATTTACTATATGGCAAATCATTAAGCTTCTTGATGTTATTTCAGGATTTATGAGATACATTTTCTTTCTTTGAGGACTTACTAATACTAACGTATGGGTAAAATTATTCTTAAACAGTTTGATATCATTTATGTACAACATAATTATAAATAATAAATTATTACCAGAATTGCACATGGGCCCATTCCATCCTGTTTTACATGTACAAGCACCTGAAACATCATCACAATCAACTGTGTTTGTCATATTACAGCTGCAGGTGTTGTTGCAGTTTGCTCCAAAATGAGTTGTATCACAAACTGAAATAGTTCATTTTTTACTTATTGAATACCTTTAAATTTTCATACTTTAATATTAGAAAAAGAAATGTTTTGAATTAATAATTAATCATTCATTAGGCATAAACAAACTCTGCTATAGTGCATATTTTAAAAAATGTAAATGACTAAGATACATCAATTATAGTTGAATTAAGCATTTTTATATTGAAAAGCCCTAAGCTTTATTGTTTTTTTTTAGAGTTAATTCCGAGAAGGTCTTTATTTTTTATAAGGGCAGGTTATAAATGGGTGGTATTAAAATTAAGCTTAAACAATCTGAAATCATTTGTGGACAACAATTTTTGATAGCAAATGTTTACCTGTATTACAATTTGCTCCACTCCATCCTGGTTTACATGTACAATCACCTGACACATCATCACAGTCAACTGTGTTTGTCATATTACAGCTGCAAGTTTTGTTGCAGTTTGATCCATAATGATTTGCATCACAAACTGAAAAATGTATTTTATTTTGGGTCATTTAAGGTTATTAAATCGTCACAAAATCAATTTGGAAAAAAAAAAATTCAATTATACATTTAGCATTTATTAAGCATATACATACTCTGTTACTGACATTTCTTCCATAAATGGTTTTAATTAACCACCTAGCCATACAGTGTAGTAATGATGGGTTATAAATTATTTTTAATTTAAATGACCAAGGTACATAAAATATAGTTTAATTAGCATTTTTTATATGTAAAAGTTCTAAGCTTTGCTATCTTGTTTCAGATGTATGAGATGGTGTTTCTTTTTTCTGAAGCCATGGTTATAAATGGGTGGTATTAAAATTAAGCTTAAACAATCTGAAATCATTTGTGGACAACAATTTTTGATAGCAAATGTTTACCTGTATTACAATTGGCTCCACTCCATCCTGGTTTACATGTACAATCACCTGACACATCATCACAGTCAACTGTGTTTGTCATATTACAGCTGCAAGTTTTGTTGCAGTTTGATCCATAATGATTTGCATCACAAACTGAAAAATGTATTTTATTTTGGGTCATTTAAGGTTATTAAATCGTCACAAAATCAATTTGGAAAAAAAAAATTTCAATTATACATTTAGCATTTATTAAGCATATACATACTCTGTTACTGACATTTCTTCCATAAATGGTTTTAATTAACCACCTAGCCATACAGTGTAGTAATGATGGGTTATAAATTATTTTTAATTTAAATGACCAAGGTACATAAAATATAGTTTAATTAGCATTTTTTATATGTAAAAGTTCTAAGCTTTGCAATCTTGTTTCAGATGTATGAGATGGTGTTTCTTTTTCTGAAGCCATGGTTATAAATGGGTGGTATTAAAATTAAGCTTAAACAATCTGAAATCATTTGTGGACAACAATTTTTGATAGCAAATGTTTACCTGTATTACAATTGGCTCCACTCCATCCTGGTTTACATGTACAATCACCTGACACATCATCACAGTCAACTGTGTTTGTCATATTACAGCTGCAAGTTTTGTTGCAGTTTGATCCATAATGATTTGCATCACAAACTGAAAAATGTATTTTATTTTGGCTCATTTAAGGTTATTAAATCGTCACAAAATCAATTTGGAAAAAAAAAATTCAATTATACATTTAGCATTTATTAAGCATATACATACTCTGTTACTGACATTTCTTCCATAAATGGTTTTAATTAACCACCTAGCCATACAGTGTAGTAATGATGGGTTATAAATTATTTTTAATTTAAATGACCAAGGTACATAAAATATAGTTTAATTAGCATTTTTTATATGTAAAAGTTCTAAGCTTTGCTATCTTGTTTCAGATGTATGAGATGGTGTTTCATTTTCTGAAGCCATGGTTATAAATGGGTGGTATTAAAATTAAGCTTAAACAATCTGAAATCATTTGTGGACAACAATTTTTGATAGCAAATGTTTACCTGTATTACAATTGGCTCCACTCCATCCTGGTTTACATGTACAATCTCCTGACACATCATCACAGTCAACTGTGTTTGTCATATTACAGCTGCAAGTTTTGTTGCAGTTTGATCCATAATGATTTGCATCACAAACTGAAAAATGTATTTTATTTTAGCTCATTTAAGGTTATTAAATCATCACAAAATCAATTTGGAAAAAAAAAATTTCAATTATACATTTAGCATTTATTAGGCATATACATACTCTGTTACTGACATTTCTTCCATAAATGGTTTTAATTAACAACCTAGCCATACAGTGTAGTAATGATGGGTTATAAATTATTTTTAACTTAAATGACCAAGGTACATCTATCTATCTATATATATAATTCTCTTCTGGGATCAGTTAGAAAACAAGCTGCAAGCGCCTCCTTGCAGTCCGATCTATTTCTCTCTATCACTATCACCCCCACCCCACCCCCACATGATCTGGTGAGCGGTGTTCACTCTGTTTACATTTTACAATCATAGAGACGGGTTTGGTGACGGCTATTAGGGGCAGATAATTTAGTTTGAAACGATTTTAAACTTAGAGGAGGTAACTAAGAGGAGGCTGCTTTCACGTGGGTGGGGAGGGGTAGTGTTTTTAAGCAAATATTTTCAATGGCAGCATTGGTACTGTCGAATTCACAAATTATAAATTACTGAAAAGTAGAGAAAAACAACTAAATAGGGGCGTATGATATGCAGCGGGTCGGCTCGTAAAATATAGTTTAATTAGGATTTTTGATATGTAAATGTTCTAGGCTTTACAATCAGGTTTTAGATGTATGAGATGGTGTTTCTTTTTCTGAAGCTATGGTTATAAATGGGTGGTATGAAAATGAAGCTTAAACATTCTGAAATCATTTGTGGACAACAATTTTTGATAGCAAATGTTTACCTGTATTACAATTGGCTCCACTCCATCCTGGTTTACATGTACAATCACCTGACACATCATCACAGTCAACTGTGTTTGTCATATTACAGCTGCAAGTTTTGTTGCAGTTTGATCCATAATGATTTGCATCACAAACTGAAAAATGTATTTTATTTTGGCTCATTTAAGGTTATTAAATCCTCACAAAATAAATTTGGAAAAAATATTTTTCACTTATAAATGTATCATTCATTAGGCATATACATACTCTGTTACTGATATTTCTTCCATAAATGATTTCAACCACCTAGCCATATAGTGTAGTAATGATGTGTATACTATACATGTCTAGAAAACAAGCCTGCCAAAAGTTATTTTTTATATATTTTTATTTATTTTTAATTTTTAATATAGCTTTATTTTTCCCCCAGAACATGTACACATTAACAAAGATAAATAAGACCATGGTTGCAATGCTATTAGAAAATCATAAAAAAATAACAGGTTACCCCAGTTAAAATAATATAAGTTAACAAGAAGCCATCAGAAAAGTCAATTGTGTTGTTCAGTACACAGCTACATGGAAGTGAGCAGTTGACACCATAATGTGTCCCATTGCAAACTGACATGTAATGAAAAGTAGTTAGACAGTGTACACACTATTATTTCAGAAGCAAAGAAAATTAAATTGGTTTAGGTACACAGGTAGAAAAGTTGCATAACATCTGCAACAATGTACATGACAGCTAATGCATCTGAATAATGTACGCATTTGTAGAGAATAAAATCTGAACAAATTATATTTACTACAAAATATAAATGTACACCACAGATTCAATTCATTTAGAAAACATTTTATAAACAAGAAGAAAGAAATTGTCTGAACAACTACCTTGGCACAGAGCACCAGGTGTGAGTTTCTGATATCCTGACACACATCTGCATTCAGCAGAACCATTCAAATTGTGACATTCTTCATGTTGGCCACAATAACTAGAGTTGCTGCACTCATTAATATCTAGATCACAGTTGGTTCCAGTCCAACCAGGTTTACATGTGCAAGTTCCAATGGTGTCATTACAATCAGCAGTGTTTGCCACAATACAGAGACAAGTATTTGAACAGTTTGTACCATAATGGGTAGCATCACAAGCTGTTGATTTGGAGAAAGGATGTTTTTTTTTTACATTAGAAATGCCATAAATCAAGTATGAAAAATCTTCCTTCTTGTTAGTGAAGCCAATAATTATATACAGCTTAATGCAGTACTTTAGTTAGGACAACATTAGTGGACAAGAAGCCAGATGAAAAGTTTGCTGAAGTACCTTGGCAAAGTGCACTAGAACTTGGTTTTGTGAACCCTACATCACATCTACATTCAGCACTGCCATTTAGATTGTAACAAGAATCATGTGGGTCTGGACAGTAACTTGTGTCCCCACATTCATCAATGTCTGTGTCACATTTGGTGCCAGTCCAACCAGTTTTACATCTACAAGACCCATCTGTCTCATTACAGTCAACTGTGTTGTTTAGTACACAGCCACATGGAAGTGAGCAGTTGACACCATAATGTGTCCCATTGCAAACTGACATGTAATGAAAAGTAGTTAGACAGTGTTCATACTCATATTTAAGAAGCAAAGAAAATGTAACTGTTTTAAGCATAAAGGTAGAAAAGTTGCATAACATCTTCAACAATGTACATGACAGCTATTGCATCTGAATAATGTACGCATATGTAGAGACTGAAATCTGAACAAAATATGTTTACTACAAAACATAAATGTTCACCACAGATTCAATTCATTTAGACAACATTTTATAAACAAGAAGAAAGAAATTGTCTGAACAACTACCTTGGCACAGAGCACCAGGTGTGAGTTTCTGATATCCTGACACACATCTGCATTCAGCAGAACCATTCAAATTGTGACATTCTTCATGTTGGCCACAATAACTAGAGTTGCTGCACTCATTAATATCTAGATCACAGTTGGTTCCAGTCCAACCAGTTTTACATGTGCAAGTTCCAATGGTGTCATTACAATCAGCAGTGTTTGCCACAATACAGAGACAAGTATTTGAACAATTTGTACCATAATGGGTAGCATCACAAGCTGTTGATTTGGAGAAAGGATTTTAATCTACATTAGAAATGCTGTGAATCAAGTATGAAAAATCTTCCTTCTTGTTAGTGAAGCCAATAATTGTATACAGCTTAATGCAGTACTTTAGTTAGAACAACATTAGTGTACAAGAAGCCAGATGAAAAGTTGGCTGAAGTACCTTGGCAAAGTGCACTAGAACTTGGTTTTGTAAACCCTACATCACATCTACATTCAGCACTGCCATTTAGATTGTAACAAGAATCATGTGGGTCTGGACAGTAACTTGTGTCCCCACATTCATCAATGTCTGTGTCACATTTGGTGCCAGTCCAACCAGTTTTACATGTGCAAGTTCCAATGGTGTCATTACAATCAGCAGTGTTTGCCACAATACAGAGACAAGTATTTGAACAGTTTGTACCATAATGTGTAGCATCACAAGCTGTTGATTTGGAGAAAGGATGTTTTATCTACATTAGAAATGCTGTGAATCAAGTATTAAAAATTTTTCTTCTTGTTAGTGAAGCCAATAATTGTATACAGCTTAATGCAGTACTTTAGTTAGAACAACATTATTGGACAAAAAGCCAGATGAAAAGTTGGCTGAAGTACCTTGGCAAAGTGCACTAGAACTTGGTTTTGTAAACCCTACATCACATCTACATTCAGCAGTGCCATTTAGATTGTAACAAGAATCATGTGGGTCTGGACAGTAACTTGTGTTTAGACATTCATTAATGTCTGTGTCACATTTGGTGCCAGTCCAACCAATTTTACATCTACAAGACCCGTCTGTCTCATTACAGTCAATTGTGTTGCTCAGTACACAGCCACATGGAAGTGAGCAGTTGACACCATAATGTGTCCCATTGCAAACTGATGTGTAATGAAAAGTAGTTAGACAGTGTACACACTATTATTTCAGAAGCAAAGAAAATTTAACTGGTTTTGCCATACAGGTAGGAAAGTTGCATTTTGTTGCTGTTTATGTGGAAACATTTGTCTATTTTTAAAGTAGACATGTGTATTATCAGACACATTAATGTAAAGCTTATTTCATATTTTATCTGTCCTGATTTTAAAAATACCATCTTAGTAAAATTATCACATGTTTAAAGTGTAAAATTGAAATATTTTTTTTAAAACTTGTAATTATTTATAATTTTTTCTCACACTATGTTTGTGGAATTGTGCTTAAAAACAAACTTTTGATAAGCACCTGTTAGTATCTAGTGTGTAAGTTCTGTTAGCCTAGAGCAGCCTAGACAGACTACAGCCTTCAATTATGTAAATATTAAAAATATCTACACTTGTTATAGTTAAACATTAAATACTGTGATCCTTTATATGATATATAAATGTACAATTCATATAGGCCCTATATGTTTGTAATTAAACATTTTAAATGATTTTAGCAAAAATAAAAAATAAAATTCTTGGTGTGCAAGTCTCAGTACATTAGTAAGGTGTTAAAGTTAATAATAATGATTTGCATGGTCAAAATGAGTCTGCTTGTTTTAGTTTTTAACAATCTATAGTGTTAAATAAATTACTACCAAAGCTAGTTATTGGTTAACATTTTTGTTGTCAGATTTTTTATACAGTAAAAGATTAAATCATTAAATTGCAAAAAAAAAAAAATATTAGAAAGTTTTACAAGTGCATGCTTTGCTCAAAGTGGTAAAATGTTAGTGGCCAAGAAGCCAAAAAAAAAGTTGGCTGAAGTACCTTGACAAAGTGCACTAGAACTTGGTTTTGTAAACCCTACATCACATCTACATTCAGCACTGCCATTTAAATTGTAACAATAATCATGTGGGTCTGGACAGTAACTTGAATTTAGACATTCATCAATGTCTGTTTGACAAAAGAATCCATTCCAGCCCTGTTTGCAAATGCAAGCTCCATTTGTGTCATTACAGTCAGCAGTGTTTGCTATGACACACTGACATTGTGTGGAGCAGTTTGTACCATAATGTGTTGTATCACAAGCTGTTGATGTGTAAACATTAAAGGATTTCTTAGCATAGTTTGCAATGAATACATTGTTTTATTATTTCAGAGTTGTACTGTTACAATGTGGTTTTGATTAGATAAACAAAATATATTATTTTTAACTTAAGGTTTCATTGGGTTTTTTTAAAAAATATATTAGTTAATAATTGCTATAGATTAATCAAAATAATAACAAGACACATTTGTGTTTTTACTAAGCAAATAAAAGTTTGAGTTAGTGATATTATTTAGTAAATGTATGGAGAATTCTTTGCTATTAGACAAATCAATAAATTACAAGTATACAAGTGTTGTTTTTTTTTACAGTGCAACAAAAACTGCTTGTGCTACAAGAGTTAGAACTATGTTAGTCAACAAGAAGCCACATGAAATAAATGACTCAAATACCTTGACATGATGAATTAAGAGCAGAAAAGACAAATCCATCATCACATCTACATTGGGCAGTGCCATTTAGATTGTAACAAGAATCATGTGGGTCTGGACAGTAACTTGTATTTAGACATTCATCAATGTCTGTGTCACATTTGGTGCCAGTCCAACCAGTTTTACATCTACAAGACCCATCTGTCTCATTACAGTCAATTGTGTTGTTCAGTACACAGCTACATGGAAGTGAGCAGTTGACACCATAATGTGTCCCATTGCAAACTGACATGTAATGAAAAGTAGTTAGACAGTGTACACACTATTATTTCAGAAGCAAAGAAAATTAAACTCATTTAGGTATACAGGTAGAAAAGTTGCATAACATCTGCAACAACGTACATGACAGCTAATGCATCTGAATAATGTAGGCATATGTAGAGAATAAAATCTCAACAAATTATATTTACGACAAAACAAATGTACACCACAGATTCAATTCATTTAGAAAACATTTTATAAACAAGAAGAAAGAAATTGTCTGAACAACTACCTTGGCACAGAGCACCAGGTGTGAGTTTCTGATATCCTGACACACATCTGCATTCAGCAGAACCATTCAAATTGTGACATTCTTCATGTTGGCCACAATAACTAGAGTTGCTGCACTCATCAATATCTAGATCACAGTTGGTTCCAGTCCAACCAGTTTTACATGTGCAAGTTCCAAAGGTGTCGTTACAATCAGCAGTGTTTGCCACAATACAGAGACAAGTACTTGAACAGTTTGTACCATAATGTGTAGCATCACAAGCTGTTGATTTGGAGAAAGGATTTTTTATCTACATTAGAAATGCCGTCAATCAAGTATGAAAAATCTTCCTTCTTGTTAGTGAAGCCAATTATTTTATACAGCTTAATGCAGTACTTTAGTTAGGACAACATTAGTGGACAAGAAGCCAGATGAAAAGTTGGCTGAAGTACCTTGGCAAAGTGCACTAGAACTTGGTTTTGTAAACCCTACATCACATCTACATTCAGCAGTGCCATTTAGATTGTAACAAGAATCATGTGGGTCTGGACAGTAACTTGTGTTCCCACATTCATCAATGTCTGTGTCACATTTGGTGCCAGTCCAACCAGTTTTACATCTACAAGACCCGTCTGTCTCATTACAGTCAATTGTGTTGCTCAGTACACAGCCACATGGAAGTGAGCAGTTGACACCATAATGTGTCCCATTGCAAACTGATGTGTAATGAAAAGTAGTTAGAGAGTGTACACACTATTATTTCAGAAGCAAAGAAAATTTAACTGGTTTTGCCATACAGGTAGGAAAGTTGCATTTTGTTGCTGTTTATGTGGAAACATTTGTCTATTTTCAAAGTAGACATGTGTATTATCAGACACATTAATGTAAAGCTTATTTCATATTTTATCTGTCCTGATTTTAAAAATACCATCTTAGTAAAATTATCACATGTTTAAAGTGTAAAATTGAAATATTTTTTTTAAAACTTGTAATTATTTATAATTTTTTCTCACACTATGTTTGTGGAATTGTGCTTAAAAACAAACTTTTGATAAGCACCTGTTAGTATCTAGTGTGTAAGTTCTGTTAGCCTAGAGCAGCCTAGACAGACTACAGCCTTCAATTATGTAAATATTAAAAATATCTACACTTGTTATAGTTAAACATTAAATACTGTGATCCTTTATATGATATATAAATGTACAATTCATATAGGCCCTATATGTTTGTAATTAAACATTTTAAATGATTTTAGCAAAAATAAAAAATAAAATTCTTGGTGTGCAAGTCTCAGTACATTAGTAAGGTGTTAAAGTTAATAATAATGATTTGCATGGTCAAAATGAGTCTGCTTGTTTTAGTTTTTAACAATCTATAGTGTTAGATAAATTACTACCAAAGCTAGTTATTGGTTAACATTTTTGTTGTCAGATTTTTTATACAGTAAAAGATTAAATCATTAAATTGCAAAAAAAAAAATATTAGAAAGTTTTACAAGTGCATGCTTTGCTCAAAGTGGTAAAATGTTAGTGGCCAAGAAGCCAAAAAAAAAGTTGGCTGAAGTACCTTGACAAAGTGCACTAGAACTTGGTTTTGTAAACCCTACATCACATCTACATTCAGCACTGCCATTTAAATTGTAACAATAATCATGTGGGTCTGGACAGTAACTTGAATTTAGACATTCATCAATGTCTGTTTGACAAAAGAATCCATTCCAGCCCTGTTTGCAAATGCAAGCTCCATTTGTGTCATTACAGTCAGCAGTGTTTGCTATGACACACTGACATTGTGTGGAGCAGTTTGTACCATAATGTGTTGTATCACAAGCTGTTGATGTGTAAACATTAAAGGATTTCTTAGCATAGTTTGCAATGAATACATTGTTTTATTATTTCAGAGTTGTACTGTTACAATGTGGTTTTGATTAGATAAACAAAATATATTATTTTTAACTTAAGGTTTCATTGGGTTTTTTTTTAAAATATATTAGTTAATAATTGCTATAGATTAATCAAAATAATAACAAGACACATTTGTGTTTTTACTAAGCAAATAAAAGTTTGAGTTAGTGATATTATTTAGTAAATGTATGGAGAATTCTTTGCTATTAGACAAATCAATAAATTACAAGTATACAAGTGTTGTTTTTTTTTACAGTGCAACAAAAACTGCTTGTGCTACAAGAGTTAGAACTATGTTAGTCAACAAGAAGCCACATGAAATAAATGACTCAAATACCTTGACATGATGAATTAAGAGCAGAAAAGACAAATCCATCATCACATCTACATTGGGCAGTGCCATTTAGATTGTAACAAGAATCATGTGGGTCTGGACAGTAACTTGTATTTAGACATTCATTAATGTCTGTGTCACATTTGGTGCCAGTCCAACCAGTTTTACATCTACAAGACCCATCTGTCTCATTACAGTCAATTGTGTTGTTCAGTACACAGCCACATGGAAGTGAGCAGTTGACACCATAATGTGTCCCATTGCAAACTGACATGTAATGAAAAGTAGTTAGACAGTGTACACACTATTATTTCAGAAGCAAAGAAAATTAAACTCATTTAGGTATACAGGTAGAAAAGTTGCATAACATCTGCAACAACGTACATGAGAGCTAATGCATCTGAATAATGTAGGCATATGTAGAGAATAAAATCTCAACAAATTATATTTACGACAAAACAAATGTACACCACAGATTCAATTCATTTAGAAAACATTTTATAAACAAGAAGAAAGAAATTGTCTGAACAACTACCTTGGCACAGAGCACCAGGTGTGAGTTTCTGATATCCTGACACACATCTGCATTCAGCAGAACCATTCAAATTGTGACATTCTTCATGTTGGCCACAATAACTAGAGTTGCTGCACTCATCAATATCTAGATCACAGTTGGTTCCAGTCCAACCAGTTTTACATGTGCAAGTTCCAAAGGTGTCGTTACAATCAGCAGTGTTTGCCACAATACAGAGACAAGTACTTGAACAGTTTGTACCATAATGTGTAGCATCACAAGCTGTTGATTTGGAGAAAGGATTTTTTATCTACATTAGAAATGCCGTCAATCAAGTATGAAAAATCTTCCTTCTTGTTAGTGAAGCCAATTATTTTATACAGCTTAATGCAGTACTTTAGTTAGGACAACATTAGTGGACAAGAAGCCAGATGAAAAGTTGGCTGAAGTACCTTGGCAAAGTGCACTAGAACTTGGTTTTGTAAACCCTACATCACATCTACATTCAGCAGTGCCATTTAGATTGTAACAAGAATCATGTGGGTCTGGACAGTAACTTGTGTTCCCACATTCATCAATGTCTGTGTCACATTTGGTGCCAGTCCAACCAGTTTTACATCTACAAGACCCGTCTGTCTCATTACAGTCAATTGTGTTGCTCAGTACACAGCCACATCGAAGTGAGCAGTTGACACCATAATGTGTCCCATTGCAAACTGATGTGTAATGAAAAGTAGTTAGAGAGTGTACACACTATTATTTCAGAAGCAAAGAAAATTTAACTGGTTTTGCCATACAGGTAGGAAAGTTGCATTTTGTTGCTGTTTATGTGGAAACATTTGTCTATTTTCAAAGTAGACATGTGTATTATCAGACACATTAATGTAAAGCTTATTTCATATTTTATCTGTCCTGATTTTAAAAATACCATCTTAGTAAAATTATCACATGTTTAAAGTGTAAAATTGAAATATTTTTTTTAAAACTTGTAATTATTTATAATTTTTTCTCACACTATGTTTGTGGAATTGTGCTTAAAAACAAACTTTTGATAAGCACCTGTTAGTATCTAGTGTGTAAGTTCTGTTAGCCTAGAGCAGCCTAGACAGACTACAGCCTTCAATTATGTAAATATTAAAAATATCTACACTTGTTATAGTTAAACATTAAATACTGTGATCCTTTATATGATATATAAATGTACAATTCATATAGGCCCTATATGTTTGTAATTAAACATTTTAAATGATTTTAGCAAAAATAAAAAATAAAATTCTTGGTGTGCAAGTCTCAGTACATTAGTAAGGTGTTAAAGTTAATAATAATGATTTGCATGGTCAAAATGAGTCTGCTTGTTTTAGTTTTTAACAATCTATAGTGTTAGATAAATTACTACCAAAGCTAGTTATTGGTTAACATTTTTGTTGTCAGATTTTTTATACAGTAAAAGATTAAATCATTAAATTGCAAAAAAAAAAAATATTAGAAAGTTTTACAAGTGCATGCTTTGCTCAAAGTGGTAAAATGTTAGTGGCCAAGAAGCCAAAAAAAAAGTTGGCTGAAGTACCTTGACAAAGTGCACTAGAACTTGGTTTTGTAAACCCTACATCACATCTACATTCAGCACTGCCATTTAAATTGTAACAATAATCATGTGGGTCTGGACAGTAACTTGAATTTAGACATTCATCAATGTCTGTTTGACAAAAGAATCCATTCCAGCCCTGTTTGCAAATGCAAGCTCCATTTGTGTCATTACAGTCAGCAGTGTTTGCTATGACACACTGACATTGTGTGGAGCAGTTTGTACCATAATGTGTTGTATCACAAGCTGTTGATGTGTAAACATTAAAGGATTTCTTAGCATAGTTTGCAATGAATACATTGTTTTATTATTTCAGAGTTGTACTGTTACAATGTGGTTTTGATTAGATAAACAAAATATATTATTTTTAACTTAAGGTTTCATTGGGTTTTTTTTTAAAATATATTAGTTAATAATTGCTATAGATTAATCAAAATAATAACAAGACACATTTGTGTTTTTACTAAGCAAATAAAAGTTTGAGTTAGTGATATTATTTAGTAAATGTATGGAGAATTCTTTGCTATTAGACAAATCAATAAATTACAAGTATACAAGTGTTGTTTTTTTTTACAGTGCAACAAAAACTGCTTGTGCTACAAGAGTTAGAACTATGTTAGTCAACAAGAAGCCACATGAAATAAATGACTCAAATACCTTGACATGATGAATTAAGAGCAGAAAAGACAAATCCATCATCACATCTACATTGGGCAGTGCCATTTAGATTGTAACAAGAATCATGTGGGTCTGGACAGTAACTTGTATTTAGACATTCATTAATGTCTGTGTCACATTTGGTGCCAGTCCAACCAGTTTTACATCTACAAGACCCATCTGTCTCATTACAGTCAATTGTGTTGTTCAGTACACAGCCACATGGAAGTGAGCAGTTGACACCATAATGTGTCCCATTGCAAACTGACATGTAATGAAAAGTAGTTAGACAGTGTACACACTATTATTTCAGAAGCAAAGAAAATTAAACTCATTTAGGTATACAGGTAGAAAAGTTGCATAACATCTGCAACAACGTACATGACAGCTAATGCATCTGAATAATGTAGGCATATGTAGAGAATAAAATCTCAACAAATTATATTTACGACAAAACAAATGTACACCACAGATTCAATTCATTTAGAAAACATTTTATAAACAAAAAGTAAGAAATTGTCTGAACAACTACCTTGGCACAGAGCACCAGGTGTGAGTTTCTGATATCCTGACACACATCTGCATTCAGCAGAACCATTCAAATTGTGACATTCTTCATGTTGGCCACAATAACTAGAGTTGCTGCACTCATCAATATCTAGATCACAGTTGGTTCCAGTCCAACCAGTTTTACATGTGCAAGTTCCAAAGGTGTCATTACAATCAGCAGTGTTTGCCACAATACAGAGACAAGTATTTGAACAGTTTGTACCATAATGTGTAGCATCACAGGCTGTTGATTTGGAGAAATGATGTTTTATTTACATTAGAAATGCCATAAATCAAGTATGAAAAATCTTCCTTCTTGTTAGTGAAGCCAATTATTATATACAGCTTAATGCAGTATTTAAGTTAGGACCACATTAGTGGACAAAAAGCCATAAGCAAAGTTGGCTCAAGTACCTTGGCAAAGTGCACTAGAACTTGGTTTTGTAAACCCTACATCACATCTACATTCAGCAGTGCCATTTAGATTGTAACAAGAATCATGTGGGTCTGGACAGTAACTTGTGTTCCCACATTCATTAATGTCTGTGTCACATTTGGTGCCAGTCCAACCAGTTTTACATCTACAAGACCCATCTGTCTCATTACAGTCAATTGTGTTGCTCAGTACACAGCCACATGGAAGTGAGCAGTTGACACCATAATGTGTCCCATTGCAAACTGACATGTAATGAAAAGTAGTTAGACAGTGTACACACTATTATTTCAGAAGCAGAGAAAATTTAACTGGTTTTGCCATACAGGTAGAAAAGTTGCATTTTGTTGCTGTTTATGTGGAAACATTTGTCTATTTTTAAAGTAGAAATGTGTATTGTCAGACACATTAATGTAAAGCTTTTTTCATATTTTTTCTGTCCTGGTTTTAAAAATACAATCTTCTTAAAATTTATTTTTAACAGTATGTAATGTGTAAAATTCAAACATTTTTTTTTAAACTTGTAATTTTTTATATTTCTTTCTCACACTATGTTTGTGGAGTTGTGCTTAAAAAAAACAATTGATAAGCACCTGTTAGTTTCTAGTGTGTACGTTCTGTTAGCCTAGAGTAGCCTAGACCACAGCCGTCAATTATGTAAATATTAAAAATATCAACACTTGTTGTTTTAGTTATACATTAAATACTGTGATAATTTATGTGATATATAAATGTACTTAGTTAAGTAGTCTTTGCTTTACAGTTCGTATAGACCCTATATATTTGTAATTAAAACATTAAAATGATTTTAGCAACAACAAAAAATCTTTGTGTGCAAGTCTCAGTACATTAGTAACGTGTTAAAGTTAATAATAATGATTAGCATGGTCACAAAGAGTCTGCATGTTTTAGTTTTCAACAATCTACAGTGTTAGATAAATTACTACTAAAGCTAGTTATTGGTTAACATTTTTGGTGTCAGATTTTTTATATAGTAAAAGATTAGATCATTAGATTGCAAAAAAAAAATATTAAATATTAGAAAGTTTTACAAGTGCATGCTTTGCTCAAAGTGGTAAAATGTTAGTGGACAAGAGGCCAAAAGAAAAGTTGGCTGAAGTACCTTGACAAAGTGCACTAGAACTTGGTTTTGTAAACCCTACATCACATCTACATTCAGCACTGCCATTTAGATTGTAACAATAATCATGTGGGTCTGGACAGTAACTTGAATTTAGACATTCATCAATGTCTGTTTGACAAAAGATTCCATTCCAGCCTTGTTTGCAAGTGCAAGCTCCATTTGTGTCATTACAGTCAGCAGTGTTTGCTATGACACACTGACATTGTGTGGAGCAGTTTGTACCATAATGTGTTGTATCACAAGCTGTTGATGTGGATGAATTTTTTTCTTAGGAGTGTTTGGTATTGAAGCAATATGCAACATCAATATATCAATAAGATTTTGTTTTATATATAAAAATATATTTTTTTAACAGCTTGCAGGCCAAAAAAACATACAGAGCTATCAACACTGTATGAAAAAATGTTATAGTAAAAGCCACTTGTTTCATATTAGTTGGAACTAAGTTAGTGAACAAGAAGCCACAAGAAAAGTTTGGCTGAAATTGTAAAATACCTTGACAAGTAAGATTTGACAGCACAAATCCCTCATCACATCTACATTGGGCAGTGCCATTTACATTGTAACAAGAATCATGTGGGTCTGGACAGTAACTTGTGTTCCCACATTCATCAATGTCTGTGTCACATTTGGTGCCAGTCCAACCAAGTTTACATGTGCAAGTTCCATTTATGTCACTACAGTCAGCAGTGTTTGCCTCAACACATTGACATATTTGTGTACAGTTTGTACCATAGTGGGTTGTATCACAAGCTGTTAATTTGCAGAGAGTGTTTGTTTTTACAAATGTTTGCAAGTTAATATTAAACATAAGTGAATCAATGATCATCAAATGGTAACAGATAAATACAAATGGTAGCTGCAGTGAGGTAAATACAATACACTATCTGTTTTATTACTTATTAAATGGTGCAAAAAACTTATGATTTGCACTAAATGCAAAGTCATACAGCATAAAACTTGTTTGTTAGATTCAAATGACTTTAATTATACCAATGCTAATCAAGCAATATTAATAGGATAAAAAAAATGACTGGTTGTGAGCTGTGGGGGGTTGGGGGGGGGGGGGGGGATGGGATAGCATTTAACAAATAAAATGTGTTAGAAATTTTAAAATTGCATTACCTGAAAAAAAAAATTACTATTTATTTTCTCACCTGCATTGCAGTCATTCCCGCTCCATCCTGGGTTACACGTGCAAGCTCCTGTTGCATCATCACATTCATGTGTGTTTGTCATATTACAGCTGCATGCGTAGGAACAGTTTTCACCATAGTGAGTTGCATCACACTCTGAAAATGCGATGTGTATTGGTTCTTTTATTTCTTTAGTATTCAGCTTTTAAAATTAAAGTTCCCTTTTCAAACATGACATTCCATGGGGCAAGTGAAGTAGAGTTTACTTGTTTCTTCAAACTCTGCATATTAAGGGATAGTGTTGTCAGCACTATGCCCAGCATTCTTTACTTTTCCTACCATAAATTTGGTACCAATCAGAGCTTAATGAACTCAGGTGACTTGAACCCAGATTTGAACTCGAGACTTATGGTATAGCAGACTAGTTCTCTACTGCTATGCCAAGCCATCCTTTTCAAACTTATAAGTCAACTCCTATTAAAGTATTTTTTTACCAGAATCTATAATAACTGAATGTATGATTACCTTTATTACATGTATCCCCACTCCAGCCTGGTTTACATGTACAAGCTCCTGTCACATGATCACAGTCTAATGTGTTTGTCATATTACAGCTGCAAGTGTTGGAGCAGTTGTTTCCAAAATGTGTTTCATCACAAGCTGTAATAAAATACAAGTATTTTCATTTCCTGTATCGAATTTTAATATTTTTAGAGCTTAAAATGACACATTTCTAATCACATTTTATAAGTGCTGATTTGTGTGTACCTGTATTACATGTGTCATTACTCCATCCAGCCTTACAAGTACAAAACCCTGTAACATCATTACAATCAACTGTGTTGGTCATATTACATTTACATTGGTTGGCACAGTCTTTTCCAAAATAACTTGCATCACAAGCTGAAAGTATTTTTTTTTTAAATATGATTTTAGATTGTTATTATTGTCTTTTTTCTGTGACAGCATTAAATTATGATTAAGTAAGTCTAATGTTAGCATAAATAAACTTGTGCACAACTATATAAGTTTTGTTTATAAAAGAAAATAACACTGATACTACATAATAAGTGAAACTCAATAGATTTTTTTTTTCTCTGCAATCACAAAAAGTTGGGCTGGAAGGGATTAACACTTATTTCACTTATTGAAATATTTACTTACCATTGCATGTTGTTCTTGTTGTAACATTAAGAACGAAACCCTCATTACAGTCACATGCATAGCCACCTTGAGTGTTTCTACAGATTTGTTCACAAGTGTTCAGTGTTGAATTACTGCACTCATCAATATCTATTTTCAAAATATAGTTTAGTTGATTATTGATGAATTATATTTAATCAAAACACTTTTAAACATTTTAGAGTTTAATTTTTACCGTGCTGCTTGCATTTGATATGTAATACTGACCTATGCATTTATCACCAACAGATTGAAACCCTCTGTGACAAGAGCAGGTGTAGCTACCATAGGTGTCATTACAAATATGGTCACAAGGTCTTGATGTGATACATTCATTAATATCTAAAATAAATAGCAATTGACATGATGCTTATAATCAAATAAAATATAATAGTGCTTTTACCTTACTAATGTTGATCATAAATTAAAAGACCTAAATAAATTATTAAATATATGATTTGATAGATGTCTGTCCAGTTGATTTGAATCAATGCCTTATAGATAGGACATGAGCATTGTTGTTGAAGAAAACATGGAAGATAAATAGTTTGCAACAAACCATTAGGAATATATGAGCTGTTATTTAAAACATTCACCTAACCTGTGTAAATTTATGAAAAGTAATTTTTCTAAATGATTTATATTTTAACAACTTTTTTGACTGTCATTTCTACTTACTAACACAGGAGTTGTTTTCAAGCCTGAACCCAACCTGACATCTGCAGTGGTATGATCCAACTGTGTTATTGCAAACAGAATTTTGTGGGCAAATTGTCGCATTGCTGCATTCATTAATATCATCATAGCATGTAATTCCTGTAAAGCCTTTCATGCAAATACATCCATTTACTGGGTCACATTTTGAGGTGCCTACAGGGTTGCAGCTGCAGGTATTTTCACAGTTATAGCCCCAATGGAAATCATCACAAACTGAAAACCAAGTAATGTATTGATTTGTACATTTTTCATTTTATTTTTACATTGTACAATTTACTGTACTTTCTGCTCAATATGCAGTCTAGTATACCTTGGCAAGTACGTCTATCATTCTGAAGCCTCTTTCCATTAGGACATGAGCAATTGTAAGATCCTGGTGAGTTTGTACAGTTGTCAGAGCACATGTTCTCTGATGTTTCACACTCATTAATATCTGTCCACAAAAGAAAATCAATTTAAGCCCATTTTACAATTGTATTTCTATGACTGGTGATAAAATTTCAGTTGATGTTAAGTCAAAATTTTTACTTGACAGGCTATTATAACTAACAAACAGGTTCTGACTGACACAAATGTGTAATGGTATTAAAGCGGGATACTAGCATGTGTTAGGAAAAGCATATAGTAGTGTTGAAATGGAATGAAACTGGAGTTTATTTGTTTTATTTTAATAATGGCAGGGATCAAAACATGTTAAATGGCAGTTTACTGTATCTAATTAATAATGAATAGGGTTTATAGCAATTGCATAAAAATTATTTTTAATTTTAATACCCATATTACAGCATGATTCAAGTTATAAAAAACAGATCTACCTATGCAGTTGATGCGATTATCCATGAGAATGTAACCTCTTTCACAAAAACATTGAGTTGTTCCATTTATAATTGTGCATCCATGACTACAATTTAGATTTGCATTTGCACATACCTCAAAAGCTGAAAACAATAAGTTAATTTAACTTCATCTGAATAAAATAAATTTGAAAATATAAACATTGAAATCATGTATTTACTAAATATAAAAAATAACATAATATATGCGAAAGATTAGTAGAAAAGAATTGTACAGTAAAAGTAACAAGTACATAAATAACATAAATCTAATTTTCAAGCTGCAAGTCTTGAATACTATCTGATTGTACCTGCCAACAGAACCTACTGAGGTTTACATTAAGATTTTTAAAAATACCCAACCTTACCTGTAGAACATTTCTTTCTGTCTAAACCTAAAACAAATCCAGGGAAACATTCACAGTTGTAACTTCCAAGCATATTGACACAGTTATGTTCACAGCCATTAACTTCTGTACTACACTCATTAATATCTGAAAATGTTAATATTAAAACTAATTTTAGAAAAGGGACACTGTGGTTATATCTAGGAATAGGCAATTAATGAAATAAAGATATATACCTTGACAAGTGTTGTTGACAAAAATATATCCATCCTTGCACATGCAACTAAATGAGCCAGGGTTATCCACACAAACACTATGAAGGGTTTTAGCACAATCATTTAAAGGATTTAAACACTCATTAACATCTGGAAAAAAATAATTTTATAAAACATTATTTATTGTGTTAAAAACAATATTTTTTTACAACAGCTTAAAAAATATTCTTTAATTAAAATATAAATAAGTATACTACGATAATAACTGATAAAAACAAACAGTAGCTCCCCCTTATGTTAAAGGTAAAATTACTTCACATTTATAAGAATTGTAGTGAGCAAGAAAAGGGGAACAGATTAATACATTCAAAACAGCACCAGCACTCATTCAACACCATCCACACAATCTTGGCATCAAGAGCACTGTCTATTCTTTCCAAAACATGACTGTTTAACAGCATTGCTAAATTAGTTCTGCTAACAAAACACAAAGAACAAAAAACTTCATAATTTTGTTAACAGACACCTGCATCAAATATTGAATGAACATCAGGTGGCCTGAGGAAATTTCCAATTACAGAAGTAAAAGTGGGCAAAACCTTATAGACATTGTAATACAAAGTGTAAATGGGGATGGGTTAGAAACCTTTTGAAAACCAACAAACAACATCACCATAAAACAGACTAGAATCTTAAGGCCAGAGGAATGATGATGCTGAATTGTTATTGTGCATCATAGGGGTCGACGTGGTCGAGTCGGTAAAGCTCATGGTTGCTAAACCGAAAAGTCTCGAGTTCGAACCCTCGGGCAGATGAGGCTCATTAGCTGGGGATAGCCACTCTTCTAGGAGAGACAACTCCAAAAATGAAACAACTTTTGCCTTGTAGTTTGTTCTTGGTTGGACAAAGGCTATTGAAGCAAATCCAAAAAGAAAAGCAGGCTGAAATCAGAGACAATGGCCTTAACGACGCATAACCAGTTGACACGTAATCCTTCATTGTGTTGGAAAGAGGTCGTCCAGTAGGTAAAAGCTCATGGTTGCCAAACCAAAGTCTCGAGTTCGATCCCTTCCAGCACTTAAAATTAAGAACAAAGAAGAAGAAGAGAAGGAAGAATCTCTTTTGTTTGTTTAAAAGCCATCTGTATAAATAGAAACTCTAAAATAAATCCACCAACACCTATCACTGTCTATGTCTATCAATGTTTCTGATCTTCCTGACCAATTATTTCACCACAAAAGTCAACTACCATAAACTGAGATATCCCCAAGACTGATGCTTCCTCTCTATCATGGTCTGGTCATGTGACTCTGATTTTTGACTGACTTGTCATTCAATTTTTCTAATTGGCTTACCTAAATTTTACCAACATGTCTTTATAATCATCATCTAGATATAATTTAGTGCAATATGCTTTGGTCAACACAGATGCTGAATTAAAAAAAAGTCAAGCAAAAAACACTCACTTGAGCACGTTCCATTGACATCATCATAGCCCCTTGGACAAGTGCAAGTGAAAGAACCATTAGTGTTGGTACAGATCTGGTCTGGTCTACAGTTGTCCAAATTAAAAAAACATTCATCAACATCAATCTCACAGGATGTCCCTGTCCAGCTTGGTTCACAGATACAACCTTTGATGCGGTCACAAGCAGTAGACCGCCCTCTACATTCACAAGTCTGTTCACAGTTCTTTCCATATTTATTACCAGTACAAGCTGAAATATAAAATTTTTATTTTTATTCTGAGCATAGACAATTATAACTCACACATTGCATTGTTTTGCAAATTAATGTTAGTACAAGTCGAATATGCTAGGATAGAAGAATGTTTAACACCTTTGAGATTTAGTTAAAGAGTTGAAATTACCCACTCATTGCTTAGTTTTACCTGAAGGTTACAATTGTGTATAAAAAATCATGTGAATGATAGAGAATTGTAGGAGAGGTTAGTTGGAGGTTATTAGCAAGAATTTAAATAAGCATGAAAATACTTGATCCAGGGTTGTGTTTCATTGTGCTGCTTTTTGAGTGAAACTTCTGTGGCAGGTATGGGAATGAATGAATTCGATTTTAATGAATCTATGGTTAGAAACTATTTTGAAGCCCCTGGGTGATGAAAACAAAATTATCCAAAATGCTTACTTCCAAACTATAATATTTAGCATATAGTTATAACTGAAAGAGTTAAGTCTAAAAAAAAAAATGGCCAAAAATTTCCTGCTGTTTCCATGGTGATCATCATCAGCCCATGCCCTGAAAGAACTGAACACTTTTTAATTATTTTCGACTTACGTTCACAGCTTAATTTGTCTTGGTCACTAATTTTGAAGCCATCAAAACAAGAGCAACTGTAACTTCCAATTGAGTTTGTACAGTCTTGTGAGCAGAGTTTTTCAGCACACTCATCAATATCTAAAACAAAGTTATAAAAATTACTCAGTTTAGTGAAGTTTATACTAAACTGTTATGTTATTATATAAACCATTCTTTTTATGCTGATGTTTTCAATTTATTGCTTCTGCTTTGTATACTAAATTATGTTTAAATACATAATGTATAAGAATGTAAAGTTCCAAAAGATAAAAGGCAAAGGATTTCTCAATTTAAGTGAACTGCAGTATAAAACTGTACCGAAGAGAATCAGACGTTCAATTAGAAGAAAAGATTTAATGTGCATTACCTTCACATGAATAACCATTAGTAGACAGCTTTTCCCCAACTTTGCAGAAACATTTTGGTGCCCCAGTGGCATTAGTGCAGCCATATTCACACGGTTGACTGCTTATGTTGGCACATGGGTCTAAAAGATTTAAAATTAAATTTTCCTAGTACTAAAACCAACACAAAGAAATCAGCAATATATTTAGGACTAGAAACATACAACTATGAAAAATATTTTAAAAGTAGGTTACCTATTTGGGTTAGTCTAGTGCAGCTATTTTGAGCAGATCCTGATATTTTGAACCCCTCTAAACAATCACATTTAAATAAAGGCACCAGATTGATGCACACTTGTTCACAGTTATGTTGATTCTCAATACATTCATTGATATCTGTACATAAAAAAAGAGTAGAAAAGGATTAAAAGAAGCATGTACATTTTATTCAAAAGAGTAAAATATGTAGACCTGCAAACTTACCCACACACCTATCCCCTGACTTCCTAAATCCTTCAACACATGTACATGTATAGCCACCAAAAGTGTTGGTACAGTATGTGTTTAAGCCACATGGATTTGTTCCATTAACTAGGCACTCATTGACATCTGTAAGATTATAAGAAATTATCTTTCAAATAATATTTTTTTTAAACAATTAGGCTAAATTGTATGACTAACACTATACAATTGTAATTATTAATTAGAGGTAATGACCAGCTTTTTTAATAAGCATGGTGTTAATTTTAAATATTTTCAAGAAATGTAAAGAAATTATAATTAGCTGATTTTATACAATGTAGTCTTTGACAAGACCAGTGGCTAGTTAACCTAAAATTTGAAACTGCTACCTTCACACTTAGTGCCATTTTGACCTAACTGAAAACCAGTTGGGCAGTTGCTGCAGAAGTAAGATTTTCCTGTTGCCAATTCACTCTCAGCAGACATGTCAGTGCATGTAGTTTGTTGTGGACATGGATTGTTGGCACAGCCGTCCATGTCATGCTCGCAGTGGTCACCTGCAAAGTTAAAGCAGTGACAATTTAAATGTAAATCATGCAATGTCATTCAATTAAGCCATATATTATTTAAAAATTTTATATTATTTAAATAGTATATATAAATATATATTAAATAACTAGGATGTTTATCTATTTAAGACATCATGGTATATAAGATACATTTTGTTCAAAATTCCTGACAATTATTTATTAGGTATGTTGTAAAACAATACAGTATAAGATAAAATTAGCTGAATTAATATGTTTTGAGATTTAAAAATATAATGTAATTATACTTATAGTGAATGACTAATTTGTCAAGTTATACTAACCATCGTAGCCAGGGTTACATTCACATGTAACTACAGTAAAATAAGGTGAAACTTGGTTAAGTATCTCTGTAAAGTTACAAATGCCATGACCGTTACACCCACTGCAAATGGTAATGCTCATCTTAATCACTTCAGATGAAATACCTTTGCTGTCAGTAGCTACAATACTGTTGATTTTTTTTAAAGAGAAAATAAAAATAATTTCAAACATGTTTTTAAATAGGTTATAAAAAGGTGTTTTTTTAAATTTAATATTAAGATTAACTACTGGTGTTTTAAAAAAATAAAAGTGTTACCTAATTGATGTAACTTCTATATTTTTTGGAGTAAAATTGGCTATAAAGCTATCATTGATTGAGATATAATTAAAGCCAACAGCTGGAGCTTCAATTTTTACAAAACTGATATTATCATTATCTGCATCCGATCCAACTAACTCAAAAGTGATGGTCTCATTTACAGTGACCACAATGTTGCTTGTACCATTGATAACTGGTGCACGGTTGGCTAGAAATTCAAAATTTTTATTAGAAACATATTTTATTACAAAATTTTATTTCTAGTAACAAATGGCACTTGATTAATTTTAAATATAAAATACTAAATTAAATAGTATTTTGTGGTTAAAATGCATCATGGAAAACATAAGGGGTAACAACAAACACAATCCAGACTTTATTAATAGGTACAAAAAAAGGAGTAAATTCAAAATAAACTGGCAAAGACAATTAAAACAATTTTAAAAAAAAGAAACTATAGGAGATATAGGAACAGGAAACAATAGAAAGGCAAATCACAATAAGAAATGGCAATATATTGGGCCCACACTTAGGAAGGATGCCAGACAGGCCTTGGAACGGAACACCTAGGGCAAGCGAAGCAATGGTTGACCTAGGACGATATGGCAACAGTGTGCTGAAGAAGGCTGAAAGGGTAGGAAGAAACAGGGAACAGCTGAATAGAGTGGCAGGAGACCATGGGGACTGGAAGGCTTTGACAGACGCCCAATGTTTTGCAACGTAACAAAAAGGAAAAATTATGGTGATAATTATTCAAATTACTTTTTTAATAAAAATTTTTATTGAAGGAATACTTTGGTTTGATAATTTAACATCAAACTTCTATTTTGTTTGACCACTAAATTAAATACAAACTTACACACTGACTGGACTTCTTTTTCAAATGAAGAAGCTGCTGCCATGGTACTTTTTGCTAGTTGTTCATTTCTTGTTGCAATAAAGTCAAAAATACATGGGAGGTTAGTTGAACTGTCACAAACTCGCTCAGCCTCAGACCTGACAGTAGCATTTACCTCATCCAAAAATATGGGCACAAAACTAGTATTTGTAAATGTGGCTGGGCTTTGTCCAAATCCATAAAAAAATAAACTGTCAGCTGCGGAGGTAATAGCCCCTGCAAAGTTATTTAAAGAATAGTAAGTTAACTTTTTGCAAACAAGATTCTTTATTTGATAAATCATATAGGGGCCTAAAGAATAAAAATTTGCTTTTCTTTAAAATGTATTAAAAAAATAATAGAGATAAAAATATCTTTTTAAAAATATGTAATGTTTTAGAAAATTGATTTTAAAAAGGTTTTGAAATTATTTTAAACTTTCTTCAAAATATTTTTAAAAAATCATTATCAAACATAACTTTTTTTACTAAGTATTTGGAAAACAGAATAATAACAAAAAATAATACAAATAATTGTGTTATTGAATTAGTACTTACATGTTAATCCATATGCATAAATTGCCCTTTCAGATGAAGAGTTTGAGAGTTGTGTCCCATTGGGGAAGATGAACTCATCTGATTTATCATCATTAAAATTTCCCAGTAGACCTCGAGGCATTCCTTTAAATTTGCTATCAATTTCAAGACTAAATTCCAACATTCTATTTGCCAGTGAAATTGTTACACCTATACCTGTACATCAAAATGAGTATATCTTAATAATTTTAAGAAAGTGGTTTTTTTTTAATTATTTTTTATATTCCTACAAATGCAAACATTGTAATTTTTAAAAATGCGGAAGTGATCTCCCCTAAACTTTCTGGAATATTCTTATACGACACTACGGGGGATGGCAACAAGAAGAAATAATTCTGCACTAAGTAAACGGCAAACAATGTGAATATAATAGTGCGTAATACTAGTACTTTTATAAATTCATATGCATTTTTGTGAGAAATCGGAAATAGCATTAAGTACTATCTCCGGTCAAAGGAAATTACTCAAAATTTGACAGAAGGTAGAGAATGAGATCTTTTTTACTTCTATGTGAAATTTCGCCTAACTATCTGAAACAGTATTCAAGTCATAGGCATTTAAAAAATCTAAAGGATAAAAGTTCCACTTCCGATTATCAGAAATTGCTGAAAAGTTGATACAGATCAACACATTTGATAAAATAGTTATATATGAAATCTAATCAACATAGCTGTAACGGTACACAAGTTATCCTGTTCACAGATATACACACACATACACATAAACACATAGACATATGGACAAAATTGCAAAACAAAGTTTTTTTTCGACTCAGGGAAGTGTAAAAAATCTTGATTCAGATTTTATTTAAGATCTTGAAATTTTGTTTAGTAAATTTAAGATAGATATTATGATTATAAATAAAATAAGAAAAATAGTGAATCTTATTATTTCTACAAACTTTTATAAAATAACACACCATTAAACAGGCATCAATAAGCCTACAACATCAAACTTACTATCAGAGGTAGATATTTTAAGAGAGTCATTCAATCTTCTAAGGTAAAGCCCCTGCTGTTTCACCGTAAAATTGGCATTGTCTCGAAATCCGACAGAAAAATCTTGGTTGTTGGCATATATGCTCATATCTGAAATATACAATACATTAATTGTGTTAATGAAAGAATGGATCAAACTGTGTTAACATGCAGTATATATTTTTAAATGGCTATTCATTCCAAAAGTTTACAGTTCCCTACTTAGGAATATTTGAAAATAACATCAACCATCAAATAAAAGTCATAAATTACATATGTAAGTCACTTCTAAATTAAAAAGTTTCTTCGCTCTTTTGTTTCTGTGAGCACTATAATTTTTATTTTCTTATATGATTTTGAAATCTTTTGTATTTTAGATTACATGTTTGGATTCAACACAATGTTTAGAAAACTGCAAAATACAATTGTGGTGTGTAAGAATAATACCAAAAAGTTCTATAACTATATTATATTTATATTTTAAGCTTTATAAATGTAAAGGTATAATTATTATGATGCAACTAATTTATTTTATGATTTTATTAATGGATTTTAACAAGTTGAATTGAGTTTTCGTTTTCTTTAATTTAACAATTCTCTTTAAGTTTGTCAGAGTTACAAACATATCATGCAAATTTTAAAAAATTTTCAGCTAAAACGTATAGGCTTACTATACAAAGTATGCCCTGTAATGGCTACTTACAAGGTTCAGGAGCTTCTACTATTTCGATTCTCACAGTTTCATTAGAAGTTGTACGAAAAGCAAGGCCACACCAAATTGTTGCATCCGTCAAAGTTCCATTACTGTTTGAAGCTCTGCATGTACGACTCTGTTACAATTTAAATATTATATATGTTTTAAAAGATTTTATAAAAAGTGTCCCTCCTTGTACCTTCATCTACAGGCCATTCACATTTTTTTTAAAGAAGTAAATTAAAAAAACCTTCATTTTGCATTACCTACCTGCATTTTAAAATCTGTATTGTTTGTATCACCAATAGCAACACCCACTATGTGAGTAAGTTGAAACTCTCCAAGTCCATTAAAAATGTATGTCAACTGATCTAATGTAACAATATGTGGGTCTCCAAAACCAAAACCTAAAACAAAAAGCACATAGTAATTTTTAACTTTTGAGCTGAAGTAAATTTGCCCTGCATTAATGACTACAGTGCAAGCTCCCCTGTTTATTTATTCCTGTACTTATATGTGTTAGGTACCTAATAAAACTGGGAGATCATAAGAGTTAGGTACCCATCAGAGTTGGGTGAGCTCAAGGATCCGGATTTGAATTCAAGACTTACGGGTTACCAGCCATATGCTCTACCATTCAAACATGCTATCTCATGTGTTAATAAAAGTAGATACAAAATGAACATTGCAATATCAGAATTCACAATTTGTTTTGTTATAAAATTAAAATGTCTATCTCTCAAAAATGTTTAAATACACAAATATATATTTATAAACATATTTCAGACTGGTAGTAATAATGGCATACGCTCAATTAGATTCCAATATAATTATGATTTTTGGCACATTTGGCACTGATGTCTTCCAATTTGGCAACGCACTTTTTTATATTTTTTCGTTTAAAATAATTAAAATGTATCATGACATTACTGACTTCTAAACGGGAAGAATGGACTGCATGCTGCTTGAGGTCTGACAGTGTAGTATAGCTGACACAAATCTGATTGATCACAGCACCATCTCTTAGGCTGGTTGTCCAACAATTCATGTGAGTAATAGTCTCCAAAATAAGGTGTCGATACCTGCAAGCTGCCAGCAATAGGCATTCTGTTTTCTATACTATTTCCTCTGTAACAACATCGCTGTTTGAAACAAAAAAAGACAATTATAAAACATATATATATATATATATATATATATATATATATATATATATATATATATATATATATATATATATATATATATATATATATATATATATACTAGCCGTCCCGGCCAGGCCCTGCTCTGGCTTCTGTGAAAAACCTTTTTGTTCAAGACCATTACCAGTGTGTTTAGTAATCATCATAAACCCGGCTTTGCACACCCAAACCAAAACCAAAGCAACAAAACGCAAACATAACGCTAACACAATTACAAATACAAACGAAAACAAAAACCTAACAACTAACCCAACCACAACCACAAACACCAATACGAACACAAAGAAAAAAACAAACGAAAAAGCAAACGAAAACAAACCAAATCCAAATGCAAAACCAACCACAAACCCAAAGAAAAAAACACAAACGAAAAAACAAACGAAAACAAACCAAATACAAACGCAAAACCAACCACAAACACAAATACAAACACAAACGTAAAGAAAATAAAACACAAACGAAAACGAAAAAAGAAAGAACAAAAACGAACCAAATCAAAACGCAACCACTAACGCAAACCCAACCTAAACACAAAGAAAACACTAACGCGAACATAAACGCACAGTGCTCAGAGTCTAGCCCGGGGCGGAATCGCCTGTTTCAGCTTAATAAACGACTATAGTACCCCAACTTATTCATAGTCTTTTGCACTCACTTTAATGAACGTAGGCGCGAAACCGAACACGGGAGGCCCGGGACCCCAAATAGCACCCTGTCTGGGCGCCAGAGGACGCACCATGACGTCACCGCCTGATTGAACTTAGTAAACGACTATAGTACATAACTTATTCATAGTCTTTTGAACTCACGCGAACGTATATACCATAGCGTACACCGGAAGGCCCGGGGCGCCAAATAGCACCCTGTCGGGGTGCCGGAGGACGCCCGGATTTGATTCACTTAAAGACTATAGTAACCTTTCTTACCCATAGTCTATCGCACTGTTAAAAACAAAATTATGCAGCATAGCGCTCACATGATAGCCCAGGGTGCCAAATCGAACCGTGCAAGGGCGCCGGCGGACGCGCCTGTTTCAATTTAGTGAACAAAAATGATAATACTCCAAGCTTATCCGTAAATGGAAAGAAATAAACATATAGGATTTGTAGGACCTGGCTTATTAAATGTTATTGATTTAAAAAAAAAATATTGAACAGTATGTTCAGTGTATAGAATAAATAAAAGGCAGTGTTAAAAATACCTAACGACATTGCACTTAATCAATCCCCGCTAATTATGTAATTATTTTTTTTCTTAACACCAAAAACAAAGTAATAAAATGTAAATTCTTTCTTCTTAAAAATTTTTTTTTATTAAAGGGAAGTAACTGTGCAGTCAATACATTTCCGACACAATTTTAGAAATTTTATAAACGTCGATACACTTTTTAAAAATTTTATGTCGCCTTCATAATTGAAAATTATTCTTCTAAGTAAATAGAGTGAAAATTGTTTTTAAAGACTTTCAATGGTAATTATTTGACTCGTAAATTTAGACTATGAGCACGATAAAAAATCTAACACTTAAATCCATAGAACTGTCAACGACAAACTTTTTTGCCACACGTTACAGAACTGAGCTTTATATATTAGATATATATATATATATATATATATATATATATATATATATATATATAAAATAAAATAAAATAGCAGATCAACTAATTGATATAGCAATGTGTAAAAAAATGCTACTTAACCACAGAATTGTATATTTGTCTTAAGTAAATAATACTAACCCTCCCAAAACGTCCAAAACTGGGAAATATATCATAACACTGTGACTGTTCAAAGGAAGGTAACCATGTCCCACTAAACAAGGCAGAAAATTCATTGCATGGACACTGAGGTATAGCCCTGTTCCACCACATCAATGCTGCAGAGATGTTAATTACATTCATTAACTAATGACAGTTTTTATAAAATAAGACATGATAAAATGTAACCCTCCGCAGTGAAATGAGAAGGTTTTTCTTGTTGACTAATTTTGATTTTATGCTAAAATTATGTGGAAGTTTGTGTTTTTAGATAGTTCTATTGAAAAATATGGTATACAGTGGACATTCTGGAACTAGCTGGATGGCCTGGTCTTCCTTTCTCACACACAACAGTAATTGCAAGATAAAACCAACAGTGTTGATATATTTTCTACATGCCGGGGCCTACACATTCACAAAGGGAAAATTAAAGGGAAGATGGATTTGCCACAAACTCAGAAAGCCTGTATCCGGCATAACAAGACAGGCCTTCATCTGGAATCCACAAGACAAAAGAAAAAGAGGCTCACCAATGAAGACATAGAAAAAGATTGAATACATCTGAAAAATGTTGGAGAGACTAGCCCAGTACATAGATGACAGGAAAGCCTTTGTTAGCAGCATAGGTCTCATTAGGGTAGACAGGCTAATCTATTCATAAATTTATATTGAATCACAAGTGTAGTGTGGTATTTTAAGATCCAAACTAACAGTATTTGTATTGTCTTTTAAATATAGCATACTATTATGCTTGGTACAAAGAAGTCAGATGGTAAATTCAAAATTTATCAGGATAACATTGGTAAAATTCCTAGAGAGTTTAGCCTACAACTTTAAAAATTTTCACAAACATGATAGTTATGCACAAAATAATTACATTGATAGCTCCACATGTTTTCAGAAAACCATTGCACACACTTCTCTCTGAAATTTTCTTTCTCTCCAATTTTGTAAAACCAAGCTCCAGGTAAACCTGTAATCAATAAAAACATTAGTGAAGAACATAACTTATTGATAACTCTAGCTTGAAATGATATTTTGTGTTCCTTTTAATATAACCATCTATTACTTAAGCTATTTTAAGTCCATTAAAAATGTTAACTGAAATTATTGTAATTAAAGTGTTGTTTTAAAATGTGTATATAGCAAGCATAATGATCAGCTAAGTTTATGTTTTTTCTAACATTAACACAACCAAAATTACACTTAACTAGTGGAAATAGGATCACTATTCTAGATATAATAAAACCTGAAAACTAGGGCTGGATTAACAATTTAGAAATTCGGTCAGATGCTAGGTGCATCAATTAAAGGAAAGACCACACACATTTTACATACTTGTGTTCATTAGGATAAAATATTTATAAAATAATTTATATAGTAAAAATAACATTTTATACATACGAGCCGACCCGCGGCGTATTATACGCTGCTATTTAGTTGTTTTATTTTCTACTTTTCAGTAATTCCTAATTTGTGAATTCGACAGTACCAATGCTGCCACTGAAAATATTTGCTTTAAAACACTAACCCCCCCTTTCCCCAAACCCCGACCCTACCATCCCCCCCCCCCTCCGTGAAAGCAGCCTCCTCTTAGTTACCTCCTCTAAGTTTAAAATCGTATCAAACTAAATTATCTGCCCCTAATAGCCGTAACTAAACCCAGCTCTACGATTTGTAAACATTTAGAGTGAACACTGCTCACCAGACAATGTGTGGGTGGGGGTGAGGGTGGTAGTCATAGTGATAGAGAGAAAGAGAGGGGACTGTAAGGCGCGCTTGCAGCTTGTTTTCTAATGTCTCCCAGAAGAGAATTATATATATAGATAAGCTATATATTATGTAACTCATGTGCACAATCTTTAAATTAAAAAGCTTTAATTTTTTTTAAATATGCCTCTTCTTATTAAGGCTGAGCATAGAGGCTAATTATAAAAAGTGATTGAATTACCTCAAAATATCACTGCCTTTTAAAATACATTGTAACCAATGGTGTTAGATGCTGTTTAAGAGTAATACACATAAAACTTACCAGGATCATTAATTGTTTTGTGTTAGATGCTGTTTAAGAGTAATACAAATAAAACTTACCAGGATCATTAATTGTTTTTAAATAACCTACTTGTATATTATAATATTGTGAAAATTTGCTTGCGAAAGAGTAACACATACATCAAAATATGAGTTCATACTAATATTTAAAAATGTTTGCTTCATACGTTCATCTAAATTGCAATGCTTTTATATAGCTGAACATCCATAATTACCACTGTATAAATGTGACATTGTGTAAGTCTAATGGTTTGCTTTAGGTGAATTGTTTTGCAAATTACCCTTCATCTGAATGATACTCACCTTTTACTGCTATCCTTGACATAATTGCAACAAATGTTACATGTTAAAAAGTAAAGATATTGGTTACTAACTATTTTGTGTTGCTTATTAAAAACTCACCAGTATTGCCAGTCACTTGGTCAAAAATGTAGTAGTTATATCTGGAGTCTAAGTTAACACGACCCCATCCAACTTCCACTGCTCGTTGTTTAGCAATGCTTAATGACATGACACCTTGTCCATACAGGAACATTGTATAAGATGTGAAGCCATCAGTGATAATTATACACTGAAAAGTAACTCGCTGCAAACATTTTTAATATATTTAAACATAATTAATTAAAACATTACTTAAGGAATGATAAATGGTATTTTACTAGAAGCTGTTTGAAAAGTCATAATGTTTGTGGGTGGATGATTTTGTTGTAAAATCTTGCATATCAATTTTGAGCAATTATTAGTTGCTATAATAGTAAAGTATTTCACTAAAATCTATTAACATCTTTATATTATAGTTGAAGAAAAATTTTATATTTTGTAATGCATACAAATAAATGTGCTTGTATAAAAGTGATACAAGTTTTAAGCATAAAAACTCACCAACAATCCCATTCATATAAGGGTATTTAACTATGACTTAGTTTTAAGTATTTTGCTAACCTCAGTTGAACTGGAGGATGCTGGCCATGGGGGGATGTCATTCCATGTTGCAACAACAACAGTAGATGGGGTAAAAGATTGACTTGAGTATTTTTCAACATCATTTCTTGCTCTGTTCAGTACATGTTTAGTTTTCTCATCGCTCCTGCTACTTGTATACACCTAAAATGGAAAAAAAGTAGTTTCTAAAAAAATGCAACACAAAACAACTCATTTTTTAATTGGCGTGTAAAAAGATTGTTTTACAAATTACTCTGAATAGACTTACCTGATAAAACACCTGCCCTCTATCTGAGGATACACTATCCAGGTCAGTCCAATAAGGATAAATCACTCTTTTACTTCGGAAAATGTTTCTGTCAGGATTATAACTTGCAAATTCTTCTCCAATACTAATTAAACCATTTACAGAAATCTGAAAAACAATGTACAGTTTATAATTATATTTAATTCTCCAAGAAAAATTAAATAAATCTGCTAACAATTCATCATAAACAATAGGTTTATCTGCTTATAGACATGAATAAACTATAAATCTCTTATACACATATTTATTAAAACATTATTATTTTGTTGGATACATAATTTTTCTTTAAAGATTTTGCTTCTGCCTGAATAATACATTTTTGTTCAATAACTGTTCAACTATTTTTAGATAAACAAAGATAAATATCAAATTTAAAAATAATTATTTTGTGAAGCTTTAACTGTCAAAGTAAATTGATGCTGGCCTATAATTAACACTCTCGAAGAGCGACAAAATGCCAAAAGCCTACCCAGATGAATCTCACTAATTGATTATCCCAGGGTAATAAATTGGGAAATTCTATTCTTTTGGTGGCAAACTCAGCATCTTTTTGTAGTGTGTCATCACCTTGGCTTCTTCCATAAGAGTAGAAGAAAGCTGTAAAAGTTTAAAATATGGCAACTTTTCTAAATGTAGGCAACAAAGTTATAGATAAATGTCTATAAAAGTTTAATATGTTTTAATGACAATATATTATATAAGCCTACAGTAACTGAGTACAGTTTTTCTGGTTTGATGGTACTTACTAGAATTAACACTGTGGAGGAAATGTAAAAAAAAATAATTAATAGTGTAAATGATGGTATTGACTTTAACGAATTTGTATTTAAAATAATTATAAATATATTGTGGCAATTACATTGTAAAGCGAACTGCTATAATATCTTTATTATCTGAACATTTGTTATACTTAACTAGTCTACTTTAACAATTCAATATATGTTTCTTTCTATACTTACACGCAGGACCACTGGTTTGCTGATCCTTGTTCACATACCTGATGTCCAGGTATACAGTTGTAACATATGAGTGGAACTGAAGGTGAGAAATGAATCACATACTTTAACTAATGCATTTGCAGCACAAATATTTTGAAGTTATTTCAGTTTTCTGGATCATTGCCGTTAGACTTGTTCAATCGATTCTACTTTTTTTTTAATTAAGTGCCTTATTTAGGAATGAATACGCTTTGTTTTTTGTTTTCATTTTTAAATGTGTAATGGATCTATTAAAGGGAAATAAACAGCGATACCAGGACAACCAATGCTAACAAATAATAGGATTATTTGTAGTAATTAAACAGGGAGCGTTAGTATCCTAACAAATTTAAGACAAAAACAGGCACAATTGACTTTTCTACCCAAGGTTTTCGTCAGCATACAACTGTGTGGTAAAATATTAGACTAAAAACAAAAACAGTAAGAAAATATTCGACGGTATATGAATGGCTTCGTAGTCCAATTAAATCAGGAGTCTCCAAACTACGGCACACGGGCCGGATGCGGCCAGCGAGGTCCTCTCATCCGGCCCGCGGAGATCTTTTTGTTCAGTGTTTCTTCCAGACTTTTTTTCTCCAGGGGGGCACTTGAAATTTTCGGGGGGGGGGGGGGGGGGGGACATTGTTAAAAGTATATATTTTCTATATAAATTACCATTGCCCTCCGTGTTGCAGACATTGATGCAAACATTATGACTCAAATAGTTAAAAGTTCCGCTATTTTTCAATTGCAATGGATGTGTCGCTGGACAGCTGTTCCATGTTTTTGTAACTAGTACAGGGCAACAACTTGACGTACTTTCAGCAGTGCAAGGTCTTCACGGCTGAAGCAACAGCTGAGTTCCCCACATTTGCATGCGAGATCATTAAAGACCTCCAGCTGCAGTTTCAGTAGCGGTTTTCTGACTAGGATTCACAGGCAGAAGAAGTGAGACTGTTTCAAAACCCACTTGAAGCATATGTAACCAGTTGCTAAGATGAACTGCAGATGGAGGTCCATTGAATTCCAAGCAAATGACTCCCTTAGAGAAAAGTTCAAAAAATGGCGGGTGGGTTTTTGAATTTGCTCAAGGAGTACATACTTAGACCTGACAGTGTTTCTTTCAGACTTTTTATCCTTGGGGGGGGGGGGGGGAGTGCATTTAAAATGTGTATATATTTCTATATAAATTATATATGCGTAGAAGAAACTTTGACCCCCGAACTGATATTTGATAGTTAATGCGGCCCTCGGGCTGAAAAGTTTGGAGACCCCTGAATTAAAGCATTAAGTAAAAATTGTGGAAATTCCAAAAACAAAGCCCGTGTTCTTAATTGAGAAAAGCCAGAATTTGCATCAGGCCCCCTCCCTCCACACAGGGACAGGACTTGGAATCAGCTGTGTCGCCAGAGCTGCCAAAAGGAAACTAGAATTGGTAAACATATAGCCTAAGAGGTCTACTCCGGTTGATTATGGAGTTTTCTCTCATAGATAGGTTGCTGTCCCTACAGTTTCAACTCGGCTTGTCTAAATGCAACGAAATCCAAATGAAAAAGACACGTGACGTGTTAAAAGACGCTTGGGCAACTTGTAGGGGTTGGGGCATGGTGCCCGAGGACGAGAGGTGTGTGGAATAGTGGGAGGGGGTGGGTTTAGAAGAATACTACCTGCTCGTTTAGTCATATGGTGCTCGAGTGCCAAATTTTAGTAAGAACCACGTTTCCGTGTTTGGGCGTTTTTTGTCTGATTTTGTTTTTTTGTAAATTGTGGTGAAGAAAAGGACAGAGGTCACAAAAAAAGTCGGTTTTAATAGTGTGTTTACTCTTGTTGAATGGTTATCCAGAGCAAGGCTATCTTATTTTTGTACTGATCGTAGGTTTCCAGAGAGGAATCACCATGCATCAGCAACCCATTATCTCTTTTATCTAATGCCCTGGTATGCGCTCCCACAATTCTACTTTTGTGGATGCAATAATCGTCTTTCGAGGCAAAATAGAGCCATACCTGTGTGTACACAGTTCCCAGAGATCTTAGAACCTACCTGTGGTTGTTTGACCGCTGGCCTTCATTTGAATATCTTCAACACGGTAATTTATTCCGTTAATGTTTAGAGAACCTTGCTTCTGCATCTCAATCAATGAATTAGCCATTTCAACAGTCGGGAAGTCAAAGATTAAATCTACTTCAGCTATAATGCTGCCACTCCTACAATTTATGAGAAAAAAATAGTATTAAGTACATTATTAATACTAGACATTACAAATTGTAGAAATTGTTTTTTAAATGCACAGAGCTACTACACATTTGACGTTTTCAGAAATGTTATTTTTGTAACTGTCAAACTGATAGAACGGCATTGTCGAATGGTTTAGCAGTCACGTCTCCCAAATCTAAAATGCTCGAGTTTGAATCAGGGTTCGACTCAGAAGAATGTCCCTGGGTCCACCCAGCTGTGATGGATATCTGACTCACGATAGGGAAAGTAAAGGCATCTGTGCTGACCACACTATCCCTTTCAATGAGAGTAACACAACAACAGGTGAATTCACCTAGTCCTTAGACTTTCATGTTCGAAAGTGGACTTTATTAAATTCCCCATTAGTAATTTGTTGTTTATTTATTTTATAGTTGCACATTTATCAGCATTGTCACAGGGCAGGGGTAAGGATGACACCAAGTCAAATATAACTAATTATATTAGAAAGTGCCATTTTCTTTAAGTTTACTATTTATTCAATTTAAATACAGCAACAGACACGTGTTGATACAATACGGAATGGGGGACAAGATATTGCAGTTGTTCTTTTTTTATTGTATCAAACCTGTAACTATTGGCGTAGAGAAGCGACAATCTGGATTACTATAAAGGGTATTACCCAATCTAGTAACATTTGTTACAATTATTATGATTAGAGGGTGGTCAATAAATGCTAACAAAACTGAATAGCCAATATGATTAACATCCGACACCTTGCAATAACGCTGCACGTTAGGGAGAGGATGGGATTTTAAAAAAAACTATATAAAGCCAGGACACCATTTACAAGTGTTAAGAGTAAGTGGCACATTGAACAACAAAATAAAGGATAAATATACAGCTTAAACTCTCACAGAAAGGCTTATATATGTATCATCAGATTAGATTTTGTAGTTCTGCATAGGAAAGATTAGGTCTTTATATGATTGATACATTACCGAAATCATTATATATATATATATATATATATATATATATATATATGTATATATATATATATATATATATATATATATATATATATATATATATATATATACATATACATATACATATATACACATATATATATATATATATATATATATATATATATAAACTAGATGTGGAATATATTTAAACTTACCTCAACCTCATAACTTCTACAGAGAATTTTTTGTTTGGTTGCAGTGTTTGCAAGAACTTCATCATCTGTATGGACAGACAATACGAGCGCATACATTTAAAGTTATAAGCTGTGCAGTTAAAAAAAGATTACACAACCGTTGAATTTATGTTTTAAATGTAATGGTTATAAAAATGAATTTCGTGTTTGCTTTGTGTTATCTAATTCACTTGTATTGTGATCGAAACTCTGCAACGTTTTGAACTGGATTTTTGTTTTGTTTTAATACTCACTAATCGATAGCTATTTATTTAAAAAAAAAAGTATTTTAAATTTTTCATGTCTTTTCCAAGTCACGCCTCTAGGTGTTGTAAGACACCAAGAAGATTGGATACAACTGGGGACAGTCGGAGAGACTAACCCAGGACAGAGATGCCTGAAAAGTTCTTGTCAGCGGCCTATGACCCTAGACTGCCCTAGAGGGACGACAGGCAAACCTAACCTAACCTAATATATTTAAAATTATGCATAAATCTGCTAGAACGTTACAGGTTAAAAAAAAAACACCAAAAACTCGTTCATAATCGTTCTTCATTTTACAGTTATAGTGGGTTAAAAAAAACAATAACTGGTTACATAACACTACTCACAGCAACTTCAATGTGCGATCTGAAAGCCTTGTTTTCTGCGGAATCATGATCCGCTTGCGCGCCTACAAGATTGCCTTGAAGTTTGACCTCAGCGTAAGCTTAATATAGTGGTGCACAAGAGAGAAAAATCTGTTAAAAATGTTCTATACATACTGCTCGCCTAAAACGAGCTATATCTATTAAACCAACATAAATACGACCCAAAGGAAAATAATATCAGTTAATGACGAAGTTAGTTGCTGTCTGCTTTCCAAAAACCTCTAGCCAAGTTTGAATAAGTTGATAGATTAAAAATAAGCTATTTCAATATGCAGACCTCATAAGTTGTATAGGTACTTTCTTTTAAAACAAAAATCGTGTGCTGGACACTACCCGGTTTTCTGTTTGCTAGAATAAAAACCTAAGGCCGAATGGTTTCAATAATGGACCTACTCGTATTACAATATATCCCTGATTCTCAAATCATATTCCGGAACGAAACAATGTACACCTTTGATAGTGTGGTCATTTGTATGCCTATCAGCTATATTCGATAACTATTATGGGACTGTATTTGTACCTGTCTGCATTTTGGTAACAAACATATTATATATATATATGGTCTACAATTGATATATGATCGCGAATGGACTTATGCCCGAATATGACAAATGAAAGAATAGTGAACGTTAACCCTTATAGCACACAATATTAGACTAATTTGCAAGTCGTCGTTAGAATGCAGTCTCAATGAGTATAATTGATTAAACGCCACATACACGACTTTTCGCTACACAAGAGATAGGCCGTATTGCCGGCTCATAAAACTCAATGATCTAGTTGTAGAGGGGAAAACAAGTTTTTAAAAAATGACATTTTTTTAAAAAGTGAACCATACCGATTGGTCCGGTGCCACTATACTCGATAGGGTTCGCAACTTTACGCTTTCTTCTGGACAGCACAGCGTCATCAGTGTAATCAGAGATGAGCTCATCTTCCTCGAACATCATGGACATGTCGTCAAATTGAAGAACCACGTCCGACTCCCGATGTTTTGTTACATTGTACTTCGAGATCAGATGGTTGTGCGATTTGGTGCAGTTTGAGCTTAACGTCAAAGCGGATTTTCGCGTATTCAATTGATCCGCGCTTTCGGTATTTAATTTGGATTCTTTTCGTTGTTGAGCTGATGGGGCGGGTTTTGTAGGTTTTTTAATGTCCCCCACTTTTATAAACTGTTCGTGTTCAAGGATATGGTCTATGTTATCCTCCATGCTTGTTTCATCTTGGTCTGAAAGTTTCAAAGCATGTGTTAAAAAGTTGTCAATACGTGTTTAGGTAAATTATCGGATACGCTTAAAAGTGTGTTAA